ACGATTGCTTGTGTTGCAATTGAAACGTCGTGATTTAATTTATTTTATAGCTACGTGACTTTGCCGAAAGAACCAAAGAGTATGCGTTAATGGTATTTGTATACTAATATTAACTAATCCACGAATTAGTAATGATAATGTTAATCCACTGCTGCATGAAGGCCGTGTCGGTCAAGGTGTTTGTTTGACCATACTTCACCACTTGGTCGGTGGCATTGATGTAAGCCACGGGTGAGAATCGAACTCGGGTCACCAGATTCATTGCAGTCCACAAACGACTGGACCCCGCTGCTTCCACTTACTCAACTTCTTAGGGTAAACTCTGATTTAATTTCGCTGAATTATTCCTGCTGGTTTTATTTGTTTTAAGGAAACATGACAAATAGCAACATTTGCTTAATTTGAACAAACTTCCCTTCATGAACCCACGCTGATCTGTGTCGTGAAGTATGGTTAAATAACACAAGATGCGCGTGGTGTGACTAGGCCCTCATGAGAGATGTTAACTACCTAGTCTGGTATCCAGGAGGTCGTGGGCTGGATCCTGACCTTCACGTCTGTGTATTTGGAGTTTGCACGTCTCTCTCCCCGTGGTTGCGTGGATTTTTCTCCGGGTCCTCCGCTCTTCCTCCTCCACTTTTAGAAGCATGCGTATGTAGAGTATTTGGCTTCTCTTCTAAAAAATATCTATATAGCTCAGTGGGCCTTACCTCGTAAAATACAAAGTTTCGTTTAGTAAAGTAATGCTGAGACATGGGAGCAGGACCAGCGAAGTTGAACGGGCAATCACCTGGTTAAATATGCCAACGATCAGAATTAATTACGGCACACGCACGTATGTGTACCACCGCCAACACCAATAAATATATAAACACATGTAAATATTTGTCAAACAACCAAGTTGTATGACGCATATGTGACTTAACACGACAAAACATTTATGCTTTACGGTTCTCATTCGTGTACACACACACACATTCTGTACACCAACACAGATCAAAGACCGAGATTGCCCGTGTACCTCTTAACAGACCGTTGGGCTGCAAGCCCCGTTAATGAGCACCTTTTAAAGCCAGCACCAGCTCACGATAGGGGGTGGTGAGGCCTATGCCACCATGCTGATGTATTACACACCACACTAGGTACTGTAATCAATTTAAGGTCAAAGCAAACTTTGGGAGGTGGGGGGGAGATCCAGCGCAAGTTCAGATATCAATTGTCACCAATGTCAGTCGTGGCCACGGAATTAAACTCGGACCCTCTTGCTTGGAACGCCGTCGTTCTCCTACCGCTGTTCTGCCGCTCCCCAAACAATTTACAAACATCCACACGCAACTTTAATCACGAAAGTACGCAAGCGTGGGGAAGGAAGTGTGGTAGGGCTGTGGCGATGACAGCTGAGTGGGCGAGCTCGCATGTGGGCAGGAAGGGTTGCCACATGCCCCAATTAAAGAAACACCTTCGCTTATGCAAATCCACAGATGCCTTGGGGCAGATGTTGCGTATTGTCAGAGACACTGAGCCGGAACTGCTGTAATCAATGATCTGAGCCTTGGGTATGTGTTGTCTTCTGCGTCTCAGTGAGTTTACAATGGCTGTGTCGGGGCGCAACGCCATTAATGCCGATATCCTTGGTACAAGCCCTGTGTTTCGGTTGTCATCCGCATCTTAGCCTGCTCATAATGACTGTCGGAACACCAAGCGATTACTGCAGAATCTTTTACTTCACGACCCCAGTCTCAAGTGTTTTGGTTCTCAGGAAGGATCATAATGACGGCGTTAGAGCAATGAGCCGGCACTGCCGAGATCCCCAATTATAAAAATGTTGACGAGCACGTCGCATGTTGTGAGAAAGCACGTGCCGGTTTTATGAAAATAATGTAACAAGAGTGGGGATTGTATACTGAAAGTGAATGAATGTGCAAGTCATTCAAATAAGTTAATGTATACGAATGTATGGGTTAGTGTGTAACCATACAGCAGTATATTTAATGTGGGATCACTTTCTCCCAACCCAAAAGAAAAAAACCTTTTGACTACTTCTCGTATTTTGAAAGCTCCACTCTAAGGTGCTTTACAGAACAAACATTCTCTTGTGCCTTCACACCCACACACAACACACGCACACATAACAGATCCCACCTATTTGCCTGGAAAAGAAAATGCTTGGGCAAGCACTTGTTAGTGAGCGCATATTTAGGCACGCACGGCACTTTAAGGGAATGGTATGGTCAGAATCCAGCACATCAGGACACCTCTATCACCCAAGCAATTCTCCAAGTACCTATTTTATACAGAGTTAACCTAGAGCATCCCAAACCAGGTCCTGTACTAATTGGCAGTGGTGGTGTGTGTGGCTAACAAATCCATTCACTAGCTCGCTTGGAGTCAGTTGCTTCCTTCCCACTCTTCTATTGCTACTACCAGGATTATTGTTCGCATGAATTTCACTCAATGATTCCCCCACCCATGTTGAGGACTCCGGGGCTACTGGGGAGTGATTGTTTCGTGTCATTCACACCGTGTTCAACAACCACCACACCGCAGGTCACAACCACTTCTTTTTCTGCTTCTTCCTTCGTGCTGCTCCACTTTGGAATTCCCTTGCATCGTCTCTTTTCATCTATATTATAATAACCTTGCTCACTCTCATCTATCACACCTTCAGTCGTGCTGTGTTTGTTGTTGGGCTGCTTGACATTTTGGGCCTTTGGGCCTGTGCTCAGCAACCACGATTGGAAAAAAAAAATCGAACATATTCTGGCTGGGATTGTAGAAGAGTGGGCTCGCGGATAGTCACACTCTTTCGCAATCCGCCCACGCGCAAGATGTGGTTTTGACTCATGTTTTAGGGGTTTGGTCCTGCGGGACATAGCAGTATGATGCAGTTTCGTCCGGTAAAACTGAAAGTTTCAATACGCATGTCATAAAACAAAGGTGTGCCTAAATTTAAATAACCACGGGGGAGGGGGGGGGGGGAGGCGGAAACTGCACGGTTCTTAACCTTTGATTAACAAACACAACCTTACGCACGTACAACCGCTCGGTCAACCGCGCCGACACACCCCATCCACCACACTCCCTAACCCTCCCCGAAAGCCTGTCTCTTAACGCACCCACCAACTCACTCATCGCTACACGCACACCGCCACTCGCCCACACAAACTTTCATACTCACCCATCCGCAGACTCAATGAACCATAATCAGCTACACCCACTTAAAACCTTGCTACGATACCAATCAGCACTCATGAAGCACGCCAACTAACCCTCATTCATAACTAAACGCATAAGAACGTACTGTAAACAACACAAAATACAACATTTCCCCGTATAGCCTACATAGACTTGGAGAAAGTGCCTTTGTAGACATGAAGGCTGGCAAGGCGCAAGAGGGGTTTGGCGATTTGACATAGGGGAGGCCCAGGACTGATTATGCTATCACTTTTAAATTGTCAGTCAATGCCAAGAATTTTACTAATTTGGCCGGGTTAGTAGCACGATGCACCTACCACCTTGTATAACAACTTGCCCACACATGCACACACTTCCTTAAACTAATGTAAAAGGTAACCGTCACGCCATCAGACACGTAGCTGCAAACAGTCACGCTACACACATTGCATGCACACTTCCTCACGCAGCTCAAACAAAGAGTTCCTGATCCACATCCAAACCCTGACTTCAACCCAACCTAAACCCTGGCCAAAACTTCAGCACTACACTCTTCTCAGATGAACACCCAGACCTCAAAACCTCACTTTCAAATCCGATGCGATGAACCTGATAATGAGCCAAACACACACACACACAAAAACCTAACTCAGAACCACACAGATCCAGATTTCTAGCTTACTATCTACCCAAAACCTGACTACCCAAAACCAGGGTCCAGACTCAAGCCCTGAGTCTCAGACACCGACTCAGACCCCTAAAGCCGCAAAAGACATCAGCCTTATCAGCCCACATCCCACCAGGACTCAAACTCCCAAAGCCCCATTGGAATATCCAGACCTCAACCTCAGCAGCCCTGCTTAAGCTACCACACACTAACCCAGACATCAACACTCCACATGTAAACACAGACATGACCTAAAAAGCCCAACTCAACTTACAACCCATACTCCCACACTCTGACCACACCTTGGAACGAAAGCCAAAGTTCCCAGACCCCAACTCCCAGTAGTCCACCCAAACTCGAGCTCAAGAAATGTAAAACATTCCAACACATCACCTTAAACACCCAGACCTCCAACCTCAACCAACTGTGACTAAAACGCAATCCCAATACTTCCCCATACATTGACCCAGATAAGTTGAACATGTAAATGCCATTTTCACCAATCACCATCAACCTTTGCTGACACGAAATTCCATACTCCCACACAACGATTTCCACCACAGCACCCAAGTTTAACACCCAGACCTCGGCCTCAATTCAAACACAAGTTTCAACCCAAACCCCCACACACCAGCCAACACAGCAGGACACCAACTTTCACAGCCAAGCCACAATAATGGCATTTGGCCCATACTCCCACACGCCGACCCAGACCCAGACATCAGGACACCAGCTTCAATACCCAGACCTCCAACCCAAACGCATTATTCTTGCAACAGCCAATACTCCCACACACGACCCAGAAACTCTCAAACTCTGCCCTCTGTAATCCACTCCAATCCTAGCTCGTTCCATTCCAAACTTTACCGCACACGGACGCAGCTATTAGTTGAACAGCCAGACGCCAGTTTGACCTCATCAGTTACATCTCAAACCTCACGCGCACCGACCCACCAAGACCCCGACTTAATAACCCACACCTTGACAACCACATATTCCAAACCACCCCACTTAACGCTCCAGGACCTAGACGTGAGTAACATGAGTTCAGTCCCCAACCCCCCACCCCAATCAAGACCCGACCTCTCTCTCAACCTCATCGGTGCCCGACTCCCAGGCACCCCCCCCCACACCACCACCACCACCACCAAAGACGCACCGTTCGTACTCCGCGTTGTCGGCGTCGCAGCGCGCGTCCTTGTGCCTCGCCCAGTCCTTGCCGTGGCGGCACGTGGTGAGCAGCAGCACGTCGCGGCCGTTGTGCGCGTGGTGCAGCGCGTTGCGCGTGTCCGAGCCGATGCCCGTGAGGTAGCGCTTGCCCTTGAAGACGAGCAAGTGGTGGCGCAGCGGGGGCACGTTGTTGGCGCGCAGCGCGCCCGGCTCGCCGCCCGTGCGCGGGTGCTCCCGCGAGAAGAGCGGCAGCGACACGTCGAAGCCGGGTCTCAGGCTGTCCACGCTCACGCTCGCCTTGGCCAGCATGGCCTGGCCCGTGTCAAAGCCCAGGTCCTCTTCGGCATAGTCCGGCCACGTCCCCGAGTACAGGTTGAACACCAGGTGGTTCCGACCGCCGTTCCAGTGCGCCAGTGCGGCGACTCGGGCGCGCACGTTGTGCACGTACTGGTGCGAGAGGCGGTCGCGGTCCAGCGTGTCGATGCCCAGCACGAAGAGGCACGCCTTCTTCGGGTCCGTCGTGTAGTAGCGCGACTCCTCGATGGACGTGAGGATCTTCTGGTAGGTCTCCGACACCTTGTCGCCCTTTGCGCGCGGGTACACGTATACGGAAAAGCCGTGCTTCTGGCACGGCGTCGCGTCAAAGCACGTCTCCATGCGGCAGCGCCGGCCCCGGTACGCGCTGCTGCCGCGACGCGACACTCGGTGCCTCTCCCTCGGCTGCTGCTGCTGCTGCCCGTGCAGCCCGTGTCCCTGCTGCAGCTGCCCTCCTTCGTCGTCATCCTCCTCCCAGGACGAACCCGGCGACGACGGTCCCGCCGCTCCGTCGCTGTTGCCGCCGAGCAAGGCCGGCGGCAGCGGCGCCCCCTCCCAGCGGGGCCACGCGTGGCCCCGCTGCTGCGCTAGGCGAGAGCGGGGGGCCCAACGCGACCTCGCGCCCGTGGCCACGGCGCCCAGAAGCGTGGCGACCGACAGCAGCGCCAGGCAGCAGGCGGCCGCGGCGATGGCGAGCAGCAGGTAGCGCTTCTTGGCGTGCATGTGTGCGGCGGCGGCGAGGCTACGCTGGTGGCGTTGGGCGGGCGGGTGCGTCGCGGCGGCGGCCTACTCACGTACGGAGCCCCCTTGCTTGCCTGGACGCACCGCCCGGCAGCATCGCCCCCGCCTCGGTCGGGCTCCGTGTGCGTCTCGCCTGCCCCGCGGTGGCGCATTAGGCTTCTTGTGAGCGTCCGCGCGGGCCGGCGGGCATCACACCTCGCCGCGTCCAGCGAGCTTCAGCCAAACTCTTTAAAACGAAGTAGACAAAGTGGTGGAATTTTGTGTTGTTGTATAGAAGTGACGCACCACTCCTTCCCAAGAGCGGCCGCCCGTCGCTAAGAACGGGGCCGCTATGAAGCCTCCGACTGCGGGAGCGAGGCCAAAAGGAATTTGATGCACTCACAAATGCGGAAGCAAGACGCCCTCGAGGCAGATAGCGACACGAGCGAACCTTGGACGCCAATTTGATTGTATGGTTGACGAGCTACTCTTTGCCCTAGAGGCGGTTAGCAAAAGCAATGCTTGCGCATACGTGTATACTTATTTAAAGTGCTGGGTTGTGTTTAATTGCCTTTGTCTGCGCCCCTTGGCTTGTGTCTTTAAATAGTTACGTCTACTCTATGGTCCTTGGCCATTCATTCACCCTGAGATTGTCATTTTTACAGGGTTATCTGTCGACATATGCCCCACGAAATGAACACCTGGGTCTGTCCGTGCTTTTAACCAGCAAGCTTTTGCCACTTTATCGTGCACCTCGCCTAGAGCAAGTCATGGTGGGCAATGGCAGCTGTAACTTCACCTCTCCATCATCTCCATTGGGAGCTTTAGCTGCTTGCTTCCAGGTCTTGGCCAGATAATATAATCACACGTTATCTTTTGTGTAACCTACACCTGTCCCCACTGTGATCTCTACATTGGGTCAAACTTAACATCTCTTAATGTTCGACGGCTTGTGAACCAGATCTTATTTATTCACGATGTACTTAAAAAAATTCTGCAGACTACCTACTGGATCTCCTCTCTGTTTCAAAGAACAAATTTGACCTCAGGTCTTCGCTCATTTTCCAGCTTCACATTCCCTATTGCCGTACAAAAACTGGAGGAAGGGCCTTTGCTATTGATGCCCCCAGGGTCTGGAATGCTATTGCCAATAAACTGCAACTTGCATCACTACCTATGAGATCTTCACTCAAAACTGCTCTAGAGGAGTTGTACAACCCTAGCTGCCACTGCTATTCAGTGGCCTAAAATATGGCTCTAGATTTTGGTGTTATAATTTATTTATGTAGTTTATTGTTAAAAATTCGGTCACAGTCCCTATGGTCACTGTTACATTGCATTCATGGCTTTTATTTTGGCGATTTCGAAAAGTTTTTTTTTGTTTTGGCCATGTTTTTGTTTATTGTAGTACGGAGTTAGACTGATGGCCTTAATCTTAGTTGTCTTGTGGTTGTTGTTGTTGTTATTTGACTTGCATCCCACTGGGATTTTTGCACACAGCGTTGATGTACGGTGCTATTTCAGGAATATTTTGATTTTTTCCTGTATTTTCTGTTTGCACAGTCACATAATCACTTTAAGATGTTTTCTTGTTCATGTTTTTTTGTTTGTTGCAGTTGCACCCGATTCAAGAGCCGAATGGCTCACAGGGCTATAACAAATAAATGAAACTATGAACTGTCAACCGCTTATCAGTGCCCTATCTTATTACACACCGATGCAGATCTTATTGGTCACCTCGTGCCCTTATCAATCTCAACGTTCATCCTACTAAGTCCCATCACAAGGGAGAAACACAAACAAATAGACACAAATTATGTTACTAAAATTATGTATTTTGTTGCCCGTTTTGAAACGGCTGTACGCCGTACGGACCTGAAAACTCAAAGTCGCTGTGCAAGAGTAAACCGTATGGGTTAACAGGTTTGATAACCTCACCAAATGACTTTAAATGAGGAAATGTTGACGACACGAGGCACTCAAGCACAAAGGAGAGTGTTTTTTTTGTCAATCCACTGCGGGATGCAGGATTCTCCACGCTGTTGGTTGTAGGGGTTATTTGACCATACTTCACCACGCTGGTCAATGCAGGTCGATGAAGGTGGTCGGAGGAGCCCAGGACCGGTTCAGCTGTTACTCACCACTGATGTTAGCTGTGGCCAGGAATCGAACACTCAGGTGTGTAGCGTGGTGCTTATAACTACCGCTGAATACACAGATTTACACGTAAAATATAAAAAGAAAGTTTTAAAAGGAGGGAAAAAAACCAACACCTACAACTTTCTCATCTCGATACTTTATTAAATAAAATACGGATCCACGGCAAATCGTCACCAGCACAATGTGAGGATGTCCAGACTCGATGAACGACATTTTTTTGACTTTTTCCAGAGAAAAGTCACGCAAAGTAAATTCTAAGAACTGCACGTGGTTTTGGCACGAAAGTATTGTTCTCTCTGCAGAAGTTTTGTTTCCACATTGGGTTCCAACATTCACTTATTCATTAATTCACCGACTCATTATTTGAACTTATTTTTCGTCTTTTTTTTAACCAATCACATCCAAATTGGTGACTTTGATGAGAACATGAAGCATATTACATATGCCTTGACTTTTTAACTTTCATCCCGAGTGTAAAGACACGAATAGACCGAAGAGGTGCTGGGTCAGTGTCCTGCCGTGGACATCGACCCTTGAAGGCACCCAGCCCTTGGGCTTAAACCCAGTGCTCAGCAAGAGAGGGGTGGGTAACCTTTTCCTTCCTGAAGGCCAACGATGACTTTCAAATACCTTTCTAGGACTTTCAAATACCACATACTACATGAACGCACGCCTGTCACGTCTGTCATGGCGAGAGGTCCTTGCCCTGACAGATGTGACTGAGTGCGTTAAGATAGCAAAACACTGTGTTGTTGCCAAGTCGAAGTTATTCACCCTCTAGGACCCAATTAGTGCAGCTAGGATGCTATCAGTGACAGATAAATATAATTTGTGGGCCATTTTGAAGTGGTGGGCTTCGTGTGGCCACAGGCCGAATGGGGTGAATTTGTGGGCTGTATTCGGAAGCCCATGGGGCATAGGTTCCACACCCTTGAACTAATAGGTGATGGGCTCAATTTCCTGACGTGGGGCTTAACCAATAACTATGTAACGTAATTGACTTTAAACTCAATTGTGTTATTATTAGGCATGTAATAATTCAACCTCCTGGCCATTTTAGGAATCTTCACAATTTGGAGTCACAAATCAATTGAATACTTGATTATTTTTTGTCTCGTCTTTAACGTCTCATTTATACAGTTTATTACATTTTTGTATTATTTGTACAGTGTTGTCTGCACCATTAACATCTGCACATAATTTGCATACTTTATAAATAAGAGTTTATTTCACGTACGATTTGATATGAGCGTCAGAATGGATGTCAGTCTATGAATCGATGCATGATGACATGCCTCATGGTTATTATTATTGTCAGTAAATGTTAACAAGCCATTTTCGTACAGTTTTCTCTGATACCAAGGTTGTGCCCACAAATATGGCAAAAAACAAGTCTCTAGCGCTACTGTCTTCACATTACAGACCAGAATGTAATGCAATCCCATAACTTCTATCGGTTGTGCTTATCTATTTCAGGTCCTTTCCAATGTTCACTTCCTTAGTTTTCAGTTGATTAAATATAAAGGAGTGATAGTCCTTTAGTTTTTGTGTTGGGTTAGGATTAGAGGATTGGGGGGGGGGGGGTTATGGTTTGGAGTTCGGCATCAAGTTTTAAGATTATAGGTTATTATTACGGTTTAGGTTATGGGTTAGGGTATGGTTTATGGTAAAGGGTTTAGACTGCTAAACTTAATCCATATTTGTAGGAAAGGTGAGGGTTAAGGGCCAGAGGTAAGGGCTAGGTTTAGGTATTAGGGGTCTGAGTTAGGGACAGCAGTGCCTAAGACTGCCTTTCTTACCTCTGCGAGACATCGATTTCTCATCAATGCTGGCTCTATGTACGTGCAAGCCCTGCTCTGCTGGCTACTGCAGTCACAGAAACGTTGTCACAAGCACTGTGAGTTTAACACAGACATGCACTACTGGACTACTCTACTAAACCTCCTCAGTCAACGGAGCTACCGGAAGAGCACGGTGGGGGTCACGACTTACACAGGTGAACACAGTTACTCGGTGTACACTTAAAGTTATATATAGTAAAAAATATACTCAACATAAATTCCTGCATCAGATAATAAAATAAATTATGTGGGGGAAAAAGGGAAATATATTGGATGAAAGGGGAATAAATATACCATATTCACCAAGTTGCACCGTTCTCCCCTGCATGCGCCTTTTTCTCTCGGTATTTTATAAATTAAAAGTCGGGGGTGCGTTTTGTATTCCGGTGCGCGTGCGCGTGTGCGTGTGTGCGAGACCAGATTTGTGTAACTTTATTCACACCGGGCACAAAGTTTGTGGCGCGTCGTAATTTTCGGATCACCTTATAATCTGGGAAATACCCGTGATGAGAACAAAATTAAAGGTGATGCTACAATAGGTTGCTTCAAGATTTAGTCCTTACGAAAGTGCACCATTGTTCCTCCAACATAAATAAATAACGCCACCATTTACAATTAAAGTGCAAACACCAATTAGTTACAAACACAAATACAGACCTATGTGAGCCTGGTTACCCTGTTGGGGCAAGCGCTGCGAGTAAGTGCCTATTAAGGCCAGCACGGCAGAACAGCTGGTGGTGTTGCCAGCACCACGTGCTCCTGGCCACCTTTGTCTCCCCAGTGCTGATGTTCATGACCATACCACCAGTACCACCAGCACCACCACACCAGGTACTATTTTTTCGCCGAAAATACCTAAGAGAGGCCCAGGCCAGGATATGATATGTGAAGATATACAGCACACATAAAATATGCACAGATAAATACTGTACACATGAATATATATACATACACACGTAAATACATTCACACACACACTGCTAATTCAGAAGATAGATAAAAAATAGAGCTGCAACAACTGCTGATGAGCCCTCAGTTTTAATCATTATATAAGATTACTCCATTTGGATTTCAGAATTTGCTAATAAAATTTACGATAAAAACCAATTCAAAATCTTCAGCCATGGCGAGCCATCCAATAACGAAACTGCCCCATTTGGGTGCCAATTTTTGCCTTTTGGAAGTGGCAGCCAATTCCACTGACTTGGAATAATCCTCCAAATGGTACGAAAGCACACCTTGTTCATTCAGGGCTTCAAAGATATAAACATAACCGCAAGCAATGAATTTGTGACTCATTGTCAATCACAACGGAGGTTCAGAGTGTGTGACACAATCAGCCGTGAGTTGCAGCCCTAATAAAACACAAGTGATGGTCATTACGTAACGGTGAAAAATGGCACATGTGACGACACAAGATTACGTCAATGTGAGCGGAATCTCCATTCCCTACTTTCTCGATGATCTGTGCCAGGCTTTCTTCCAATTCTCCCTCTTCCAATGATTCAGCACTGGCACAGCCAAAAATTCCATATTCCAGTTACAAACTCTCTCCCCATCCTGCAACGCAGCACAGGCAGACAGGCAAATAATTAATCCTTACTGAAATGTTCCTTAGTTGAACAATCATTTGTTGACATTTCTCGAGGTTCCTGGTGATATCATTAAAAATGTATGATATCTATTGAAAAAATGGTTTTAAAATTGGCCGGCTGGCTCAAAGGTCAGAGCATTCAACCAGGTAGCCACCTGTGATTTAACTGGTCAGAGCATTCAACCAGGTAGCCACCTGTGATTAAACTGCAATGTCGAGTGTCCTGAACCGGCAGTCTTAGCCTCGTTACTCATGACTGAAGAAAACAGAAAAACACGTTAAATAGGATTTTTAATTGAATTTGACTTATTCCAGCTCTGAGATAAACATTAAATAAAAAAATGTGGGTTTGATGGCAATGCGACAAACATTCTTTGTATGGTATCATAGGCATGGCTGGTGTGACACCGCTGATAATCCCAACGACGTCATAAAGCCCCGCCCATCATCTCCCGACCACCGTCACGTGTGTAAAACAGAGGTGAGAATTTTATTTTTTCCTACCAACGTTCTTTTTTGTGTGTTGTCCGACCAAGTCGAGTAATCGAACAGATTGTCGGCAATCGATTACTTAAAAGATCGGACAGAGCCAGTTCTACTCGTGTCTCGGCTGAAACATTTCCTCCCTCGCTCACCTCGGCTGAGCAGCGATAGCTGCTGCGCTTCCTCACGCAGACGCAGCTGAAGCAGCTGCTGCAGTAGCTCCTGGCGCTGGCTCTCCCGATGCACGCCCATGCGCGCCAGCTTCCCTTCGTTGAGCCGCAACAACGCTCGGCCTTGCGGGGAATAAATAAACAAAAGGCATTGTGGGAAGGTTAGATTAAAATTTTTTATCAAGCGGCCTTGTGGGAAACAGCGTATGTAAGCAGAACTGCATTCTGTGTCTCTGTGTACCAACGCGCACAATGCATACAAATACAAAACAACCCCATAGTGGAACAAAAAACATTCAGTGTTGTGGAGCATTCTAGGTAAATAAATAACACGACTTCAGATTCATTTCTCCACATAAAAGTATATTTTTAGTCCATTGCCTATTGGCCAGACCAGTATTAACCAGCAGTTTATCGGATGTCATTGGCAAGAGCAATTCATCTCAACGATGGGGCCCTGTTAAATGAAAAAAAATACAAAATATTGTACGCAAACTCAACGAGGATAAATGGTGTACGCCTTTCGGTTGATGGTTCCTGGGATTTCGTTTGGGCAAACAGTGCTTTGGATTTGATTGCGTAATTGAATCACAACAAAAAATTGCATGGCAGATGCGGCTATCTTCTGCATCGATATAAAACCAAGAATAGGCCATGGTGTGACTGCCTTCACCAATTCCAAATCATGGACTACATCGTACCACCCCTGCCTCCATCGATCATTCGCTGGTAGCTTTTCAGATGTTGACCACGATGCGACTCCTGAAGCCATCCACTGGCTCAGAAACCAACCTTGACATGGATCTACGAACATTGGTGATCATATCTCCCAGCTACGCGAAGGAAGTTGGTCATTGGTGGTTGTGGTTAGTGAAGTCATGGTTGGTGGTCATGGCTGACAGGAGTTATAGGTTGTATTTGGTGGCTGTATTGGATGATTCATCAGAGTTTGTGAGTCATTGTGGTTTATGGTGGTCAATGATTGCTGTGTTCGATCATTGCTGTTGGTCTTTTGTTTGGTTGTGCAGAGAATCCGTGCCCCCATTAGTGACATTAAGACTCTTTTTGTCAATTAAAAGTTGTGTTTCTGCTGTCAGTTGGCCAAATTTGCTCAATGTTGATCTCAGACAACAGGACCACAATGCACTTCTTCAGGAAATGCTGATAGATTGTTTGTTTGTATTATGCACAAAGAAAGAGACTGCGTGCTATGTACACATATTTGCGTCTTGTTTGAAACCGATGCTCTTGTTGACGCGAGGTTACCGGTGATGTCGTGTTGAGAGAACAGCTCCAGGAGGCTGGGGTAATGGTGGGGGCAGTTGCGCTTGAGCCACCGGCAGACCTCCTGCAGGGTCCATGTGTACGCCGGCTTCTCCAGCCCAGCGTACACGCCCCATGGGGACAGCGCAGGAGGCTGTCGGTGGGTAAGATTGGACCCGACAGGGGATGGAGTAACGGTAAGAGGCAATGTATGTATGTTGAACTTATTTCGCGCCGTATGTAGTCAACCGTGCTAAACGGCGGTGCATGCGTTTCTGCGTATTATGCGGCGAGTGGCGGTGCAGTGGTTAGCACACCGCGCTGGGCTGCGAACCCAGCGACTCGCGTTCAATTTTTTGCTCACGAGCAACATCAGTGACGAATATCTGAACCAGTATTGGACCTCGCCTGGGTCGACGCAGCCTTTAAATGTGTACCCGATTGTCGTGTGTAAACATCGTCGCTTTGGAGACAAAGGCAGCCGGGCGTGGTGCTGGAACCCACCCCCTCGTGTACCGTGCCAGCCTTCATAGGTGCTACTCGCTAACAACACTTGCCCGAAAAAGTCTGTTTAAGCTATATGGGAGACCTTTGTCATGTATACATTTTAAAGGGTGGCCCACAAAAAAGTTCTGCTTTCAGATCCCCTCGGTAACGAGATGTTAACTATCTCGCTTGGTATACATGAGGTGGCTTGTTCGATCCCGACCCTGATGCCTGTATATTTGGAGTTTGCATGTTCTCCCTGTGGTCACGTGGATTTTTATCCGGATCCTCCAGTTTTTCCCTCCACATTTAGAATCAATTTATACATTTCCATACAATAAGCCACTTCGTTGAGCTATCATTTGTGGCCAGGTCTCTTCTGAAAAAGATCTACATAGCTCAGTGGGCTTTACCTGGTAAAACAAAAAGTTTTGTTTAATTTTAGTTTAGAATCAGCACCACCGCCACCGCCGTTCCGTACCGTCCTCACGTAGTTTTCCACCGGCGATTTCAGCGTCGATTTTACGAGCGGCAGAGTGCCCACCTCCCTCCGCCGGCCAGACGGCTGGCTTGGTCGCTTCACGCCGCCATCCGAGGCTAACGGGCCCAGCTCGCCGGGTCGTTTAGGCCCAGAGTCGGAGGGCAACGAGCCCAGCTCGGCCAGGAGCTCCAAGCGGACCTCCTCAAAGGCCAGCGAGCTGCCCAGCAGCAGCATCCGCGCGGGACTGTAGCAGGCGGCTGAGAGATGAGAGGCACGGTCAAAACGATAGTCGCAAAGCACTCTCGCAAGTTTTCCACGAGTGCTTGTTTATGTCCGTATATACGATGAACCTCATTCACACCGTACGTAGTCAACCGTGCTAATCGTAGGTGCGGGGGAAGGACAACAAATTAAACATAAAATCAGTTTTAGAGAAATTCGTTTTCAACGGTGCCCTAAGGCATTTCAGCAAACGAGGCAAAATCTTAGGGCTCCAAGAAATCTAAAGAGGCCCTCAATTAATGAAGAAAAAACACACAAGGATGCACCGGGTATCATACGATGGCTAATATGTCTTTCTCATCACCAGGGGCGGAGCCACAGGGGGGGCTGGGGGGGGCTTAGCCCCCCTGAAATTTTGGGAAAGTCGGTAATCGGGATAACCGGATATCTGGCTGCTGCAAAATGCTGGCTGCCACCTTGTGCTGCCCTGCAGGCTGCTTGAGCGGCAGCCTTTCGAACTTATAAAACTTATTAGCCACATCAGCGGCTCCGACCTATTAATAAACTCCGCGTTCAAATCCAATAAAATTTGTTTTATACATTTGTGGTGCCCATTGGAAAACATAAACACTGGGTATCTCAAAATATTGAAGTCAGCCCCCCCAAAGTCAAAATCCTAGCTCCGCCCCTGCTCATCACCATCATACTGCAGATCTCTTACAGCACCAATGATGGCTCTTATATCACATCAACACGTTTCAGTCTTTTGTCCACATCCCTCTAATTGCGCTGCATTTTTGTTGCATCATCTCATTACAACTTTTGTCCACATTTTTCTCAACTCTCTATTCATTTCTACCTCTTGTCTGTTTCTCTTCTGCAATCCCACGAGAAGTTTATAGATTTAAAGGAGGGGGGTGAGGGGGGGACCCCTAATATTGTCTGCTTAGAGCCCCCAATTTGGCGAGTACCGACCCCGTATCTGTCATCCGCTGGACACTGGCTGGACTGGCAGGCCGATGCACTTGACGATGGGCTACAATGATCAATAATAATTATCATCATCAAGAACATAATTGCTACATGCAGCACACGGAAAGTCTCCCTTGGAAACAACACCTCTGGGACCAGTGACGTAGTAGTGTGGTTGGCATGGGCTCTGGTGCAAAAAATGAAATGTGGCCCCCTGTCCAGTGCCGCCCCCCCCCCCCTCTTTTATAGCTTCATGCTTGGTTCCCTCTTCTGGTCCGTGGATCCCAGGGTCAGTTACACCACCCGCGCACGCTGGGTGGCTTGGCCCACTGCTTCAATCTTAACGTTCCCCATCTTTGGTAGATTGCTCATTGCAAGTCATGGCTTCTTACGGAGATGCAGCAGCGACATTCACGTGCAACATCCGTCGATAAACTGAGCTGTCGAAACAATTTTAAGCTGCAGGGGAGAAAAAAAAACAATCTTAGGCCCCGAACGAACAAATTGTGTCAAGGTGGGAATGCTCACTTTGATTGCGTAATTTTCAATGGGCCCTCATCCTACGTGAAATAAATATTGAAAGATGTAAATAAATGTTTATGACTGCCATTTCAGTACTAGTCTATTATTGTCCAGGGCACAATCATTGACCATCTTACACAGTACATCGTCGCCCGTGCCTTCTTAACCATTGTAATCATCTCGGCAGCCATGTATTTAAATACGCAGGTGGGAACCAAATTGACACAACAAGTGTTTTTTTTCTTTTCCCAAAGCAGATAAATGCAGTTCTGTATAAGAACTACGTATTGGTAAATAAGAAAAAAATACGTACATGTCACAGACCCGGTATATAATTACATACTTATGAATGCATCGCGCAATGTACAAGTACAGACGTGGCCTGTTGTCAAGTCACTGTCGTACGAAGGGGGTCATTTGACCATACTTCACCAATGCCGGCTCAACCACACCCTCTTCTCGCCCCCCCCACCCCCTTAGTTTTGTGATATCTGACGAGATAAAGCACATTCCAGGTGATTTGGTTATTGGCAGCAACTCTAGAATCCGTACTATATGTATATCATCATTATCATCACGATCCACTTGGGGCAGATAGCCCGTAGGTCTCCGCTGTAGATTTCGTCATTCGTCTCCACTTCCCTCTTTCTTGTGCCTGCATGCTCAAGTAGTGCCACATCTTTCTGGCACCAATCTCTTACGATGTCGTCTTACGTCGTGAAGCCAGGTTTTCCTTTTATATATGTATATAAACACACACATGTATAAGCACACAATGTACATACTACATCATGCTGTGGAAATAATCGCTATGCTGCATGCTCGTTCGATTTACACTGCGAACACGTGATCAGTTGAAGGATTGCGTGATGGCCTTACATAAGTCACGCATGTACCAATGAGGTTGTAAACAGTAATATACATCACTTTGTCAATCCACTGCTGAATGAAGGCCTCCGCACACTGTCAGTCATTGCGATTGCTTGACCATACTTCACTACACTAATCATTGTGCGTTGGTGAAGAGGGGTGGGAGGAGGATTAAGACGAGTTCATAAATGAACTCACTCCTGATGTTGGCCACAGCTCGGGATTAAACGCACGTGAAGCAGATACAGAGGGAGCAAGCAACATCACCGGACACTGTGTCACTGAATTGGCATATGGTACGGTACATTTGTTTGAACGCAGTGACACAGTGCGGTTACCCTCAGAATTGCCGTGTTATGCAAAGCATTGCTCATTCTAATGATAATTAAAAATGACGTAAGACTCTTCGAACACTTGGCGGATGAATGATACAATATCGTCAGAGTGGAACCTTAATAGGGGCATTAGCAGCAGCAGATTCACAACCATCGTCAGTGATTAAACAGCCTCGGCGTCTTTAGTAGTAGCAACGAAGTGAGGAGGGTCAAATCATCATCGGCAGCAATATCATCAGCAAGAGCTCAAGCGCTATCAGCATCATCAGAGGCAATAATCATCAGCAGCAATAATATCGCCACAATTATCGCCACTATCCAGAGGCAGTATTGTTGCCAGCAACAGCAGCACCAGCACATGAATGATCGGTAGCAATAGAGGCGGTAGTGTAGGCTTTTTTTTTTAAATGATCATCACAGCAGCGGCATCATTATTAGCAGCACACACCCATTACAGCGTTATATGACAGGCATCATCAACAGTAGCATCAGTGGCAAAATGAGTAACAGGAGACATCATCACCAGCATTATCATCATCATCAACAGGGTCATTAACATCATAGGCAGCATCATCACCATCATCACAAGCAGAATTATCATATTTAATATCTTCACAATCATCAACATAAGTACCATCATCATTAACGTAATTGACATCACCATCTTCAATACATGCTGATACATCATAGGCATTAGTCCCGTGACCAACAGTATGAACATCAAATGCATCGCTATTCGAAAAATAATTAGCATTACCATCACGGGCGTAATCATCATAACCACAAACACCATCATCACAAACACCATTAGCATTAACATGACCGGTATGATCATCACCATTGTTCCCCTCATTAACATCACAGGCATCATTATCACCATCACCACCACAGGGGACCGTCATTACCACCAAAGGTACCATTGGCATGGACATCAGATGCAACACCAACCATCACCCCCAATCATTACATCCAGCATTAATATCATCATCACCATCATCAATTCTATTATTAACATTATCACAGCCCCCCCCCACCCACACCATCATCCCGACCATCACCCTCGGCACCCCCGTGCAAGCCCCCCACCCCACCCCCCCTTCCACCACCCTGGGGTAAGGCGTGGAGGTGATGAGATGGCAGGCGAGGCCACTCACTCTGCACGGCCATTCCTCCTCCTCCAACCATCCACCCTCGATGAGCGCTGCAGAGAAACGGGAGGCGATTCCGATTTCCTCACGCATCGAATCACCGCGCACGACTCCGGAATCGAGATGATGCATTCCTGATTTTCACTCGAATCATGCACTGTCACACATTTTTTGTACCTGGGTAGTAAGTGTTATTTCCTAATTGCTTATGCCTAAAAAGTAGAGAAAATGGCTATTATTCCCCACAAACTTTGCTTTTGTGACCAGGACTTTACGTGAAGGAATGACACAAATGCACACCACGTTTTCTCATTGAAAATAGGTACATTTAAAAAAATATATCACTGTCCTGGTCACAAAAGCCAAGTTTGTGGGGAGTAATAGCCAGTCTAGATTTAAAGCTTTCGTGACTGCAAGGATCCATACTCTTTGGTTCTATTCTTATTTACCTACGTGACTTTACCGAATAGAACCAAAGAGTATGAGTAATAGCCATTTTCTGTACTTTTTATGCATAAGCAATTAGGAAATAACACTTCCCTACGCAGGGACAAAATACGTTTTTTTTGCCACACAGTCGTCAACAGCAGTAGCAGCAAGCAGCCATGGTTAATCCACCGCTGGATGAAGGCCACCCGAATTCAGGGCCACCTCTCGTACATATCGACCCATGCGATGGAAGAATCCGCTGAGCAGCGGCACACGAACAGATTAAAATTTTCCACCATCTGTACGATGTAGGTCCTCTCTAACCAAATATTGTTTTTTTTTAAATTAATATTAATAATTCTGTAATCATCATAATGATCATGCGTGATCAATGTTTTACTATATATTTAGTTTTTTTACTGATTGTGTAAAAGGAATAAAATAGTTTGATACAAAGAATGTTCCACGCATTTTTTTGTTTTACAATTAAGGGGTTACATTTAGCGAGAGATAAATACAATTACTGTTTAAAATTTTCATCAATTAAATTTGTTAAATTATAGTTCACAAAAATACATTGTTTCGGATGATATGTACTTCATATTTCATTCACGTTTGTCAAGTTGCATCGTGTTAACACGCACTATTATTTTTACAACTATCGAATTGTATCGTAACTTTGTGTTATACACTGCTCTTTCACTGTGCTTCATTAAAAAAATATATTGCTTCATTAGGTTTACAATTCAGTACTAATTTTGATGACATTTTTGCAATCGCTGTGCTGCGACTCGGCTCCGATTCCTTTGGAATCGGAATAGCGATGCTGAACGCGGTGACGTCACGGGATAGAGGTTCTCTGCTTTATGCAGATGTAGCGATATAAGTGAATGCTATAATCAGCAGCAGCGTGAGCTAAGATCTATCCACTGCAGGATGAAGGCCCAACCCCCACGTCGTTAACATCTCTCACCGTTCCGCAATTGCAACATCTATCTGCTCCTGCCGGCGAGATCATCGCTTCTATTTCCACGTGAAACGTCATCTTGTTGGGTGTCTTTTCTCACCTTTGGCTGCTACTCCGTCCCGAGTCTTGGCCACCGGCTATCATGCCTTCGAGCCATGACGTGCCCTGTCTAAGCCCACGTGCTGTGCTTTTTTAATTCCAGAAATTTGCCCTTTTTTTCAGACGAAAAGGAGGAAGTTACATGTGTCGCGCATGAAGATGTAAACTCTGTCCTATATATACTGTTTAGACCATTCATTAATCATATTGTAGAAAATTATTCATGTGAAACACATTCGTCAACAACATTGTGGCCTTAAAAGGGAAAAATATATAAAAGGCAACGTTTTGGCAATTATATATAGGCTCGGCCATTGGCCAAATCGTTGCCTATTATATATTTTACCTGTGAAGGCCACAGTGTTATTGACACACGTGTTGAGTTTTGGTTGTTGTTAATTGTAATTGTACATCACTGCCAACACACCCAACGCAACATTACCAGATTAATTCTGGTAAAACAGATTTGCCGATATTTTGGTTGACTATATAAAAATGGTAATTGATTCAACAATCCAATCTCTCTCAAATGAAAACATAGAGACAATATTTCCGAAAATGGAAAACATTTGCTGAGATATACTGTATATGGAAAATTATATATTGAGAGGCAGAAAATAAGACACGCGAAATTAATGCAATGATCACCAATTATATTTAATGTGGACAGTGATGAAGTGTTGGTAGTACAGTACTACAAACACATCACAATAAACATCAACATGAAACATCTTCACCAACTGCAACCTCAACACCAGAATCACTTGCAAAATCGTCAGCAGCAGCACCAACAACCGTTCGCCACTAAGTGGCGGTAACGTCATCACGGCCCTTGTGCCAGGCTAGGTGCACCTTGAGGCCACGTGAAGTATCAAAGGCTCGTTGCTGGCAGGTCACGGGACGGACCCAGGGGTTTTAGGTCGACTGAGATGATTCATGGATGCAGCAACACCACCATAAACAAAGCATCGCCTGCATCTTTATCTGAGCAGCATCAGCATTGCCATCCCTAACACCGGCATCACCTGGTTATCATGGGCACCAGTGTCATCAGCACCAGCATCGTCATCAGCGGCAATACCAGCAGCACCGTCAGTACCAGGCACTGCCATAATCAGCATCAATATCACCAGCAGCAGCATTATCAGCACCATGAACAGAGCCACCAACAACCACAAACAATAATAATAAATTATCTTTATTTAAACACTGTTTGCCGTGGTACATACACATCAAGCGTGCTGCTGAATAAGTGGGGGCCCGAGCTGGGCTTCGGTTGGATTCGCATAGTGGTTCGTGTTAGACGCAGCCCCGGGAGAGTGCCTACCCAGACCCATACAGGACCTATACCTAACAGGGACTCATTCGAGCCCATGTGGAAGTTACCCAGACTCGTCTACGATTGTTCCAAATTCAATTGGGGGCAACTTAAAGCCATCTCGCCCAGACCCACCTGAAATTCGCTCTGATTTACACGGACCTACCTCGACCTGCTTTGTACTCAATCAAGACCCATGTGATGAACATGGAACTCAGTAGAAATACCGACTGAGACCATGCATACCCTGTAACAAAAACTGCACTTGCCCAGCTCCACCCGGATTCATACGGATCAACCTAGCACTCAACCATACCCACCTGGGACTCACTCCAGAATCACATGGGGAACCCGGTAGAGATACCGACCGAGATTATACCCTGAACGTAAACCGGACTCACCCAGAACCACCCGGGTATCAGCCTAGACCCACCTTGCACTCGTCACAAACCCATCCGGGACTTATTACAAGACCCACCTGGCCCAACGTGGGACTCAGTGGTCAGAAATAACCTACCGAGACTGTACCCTGGATGCAAAAAGGACCCATTCCAGAAATCACGTGGAACATCAACCTGGGGTCCAACCCGGTTGCCCCCCCTGCTCAGCAGCCCCCCTCCCTCGCCGCGTGCCGTGACGGTGGCATGACAGACGAGAGAGGGGGAGCGGGGGAATGACCGACGACGCTTCATGCACACGGAAAGGGAACGTGGGGAAAGGAGGGGGGGGGGTTGAGAGCCATGTGGCAGCTAGCGCACACCGTCACGGCGCCACCGAGATATTAATCGTTACACCGTTATTACACGCCAAGACCCTGCAAGCAGTCAGACGGAAAGTCATTGTGGGAGACGCCATGGACATCACCCGGCCGGCATGCTCGCCAGTGTTACACATCCTGTGTTGATGGGAGGTGCACCACCGCATTGCTTCAAATAACATTTTATCTGGGACGGCTCAGCCAGGGCACGTTGATGGAGCTGACAGCCTCTCCCTCCCTCAGCCCTGCCTACTTGGTAGAGCCACCGTCCACTCCTCCACTAGCACCACCCACAAAGGGAGTGGCCTCCTCACTCTCTTTGTGACGTTGGGCCCCTTTCCCTCTTCTGCCAATCGCGCTCACGACCGATTGTACATTGCACGATGATCAGTCTTGCTACGGGACATGTATTTATTTAACATTGATTGTTGTTGCTGCTGCCCTGATTTACACTTGCTTTATTGCAGCGTTTATTTCATAAGTTTGGCCTTTTGTAATTTTGGTGACCCCTTTTGTCCACTCTTGCGAATGAGACTCTCATCCTGGCCTCTGGAGTTGTCACCTGCGTAAAACATAAACTTGAAATCTACTCAGCCCCCCCCACCACCACCCTTTGCCGTATCATCAGGCCGGGCCGAGCATGAGGCCACACTATTTGAAACAGGGACAGTCACTTTCTGGGAAATGTGCCCAGAGCAAACCAAACCAAAAGTGGTTTAGACACTTTAACTCCATTAACCACTGGTGCCCAATTGTCAGAGCGAGGCTAGCAGCACTATTGTCACGTTAGATAGCAACATACTCTAATTCACATTGTGTTCATTATATATACAGCCCCTTTTGTGAATCCACTGCTGGATGAGGGCCTCCCCACGCCACGTGGCTTCATTTGACCATGCTTCACCACGCTGGTCAGTGCAGGATTAGTTGAGAGTGCGGGGAGCATTGAAGTATAGCACAACGTATGTTTTGTTGTTGTTGTACTGCCTCCTCTGGTCCTCCCCCCACCACCCCGCATAAGCCAAGAACAACGAGATAACGCATGGTGGCAGCCCATCCAAGTACTATCCAGGCCCCATTTTGCTTAGCCTACTGAGACCTGGTGATAAGCGAGCGCATTAATTGCGGGTGATTGTGGTCATAGGGCGGTTCTACATCACCAACTGTTGCTCTGTCTTCCTAAATCAGGTGGCTGACGATCAAGACAGCTCAGTGTGACATCAAATACCTTATGAATATCTCCCAAAATGATTTGCCGACCGATTGTTCACGACAACGTGGTGCTGCAGTAATATATATTTATCTCTCGTCTCACACAATTCACCCGAGATGACTGGGATCGTCACCGACCGGAGATCACATTATGTTATATTTTACAGTTATCTTAAATTAAATACTCCCATTTAGCATATACTTTGTATGGATCGTAAATCATCATGAAACGGGGATTAAAACAAGGTAAAATAAAAACACGTTTACATTTCATTGTTTGGGGATAAAATACATGTTGAAAGTACATTCTCTATTTGGCCTTATATTATATATTGTGTGTGTATATATATGTATTTGGCAAGTGGCTGGTAAGTTAGTGATCATATACAGGCTAATCAAAATACTGCAATAACAAGTCAGAAAACGAAAAAATACATTCCTGTTAATTATTGCACACATTCAATCGACGTGTGTATGACCACGTGAGCAACTTCGTTATCAATTTTGTGTGTGTGTGTATGTTTAGTCTTTCAATAACGTCTGCGGCATACATACTGTGCACGTTATATATACACACACTATATAACACGTTTCTATTGCTTGTACCGAGATACTGAATGTCCTAAATCATACTCCTATTCAGGTTGTATATAAAGTGTACACCAAAGTACACCTAATTATCTCCATATCCCGCCACGGACGGGTCAGCCAAGTCGGCAGAATACGTGGAGAACACGATCGTACAGACCTAAGGGTTGACGAGTTTGAATCCTGGCCAGGGTTTGACTCAGCCCAATCATCATGGCTAGGCTTCATCACGTGGCGCACAGAGACCCTCGTGGGCTGCGTTATAAAGCACAAAACATTGGGCAAACCCACCATCGGAACGTGGAATTTCCACCGCTGGCTCAGGATCGACAACAGGGGGCAAGTGTGATCAAGCCCAGTGCTCGAAAGACCACTGGAGACACTTGGACATCTGTATGGACTCCTAACCACCGTTGATCTATCAACCGACTCGTTTTGCATAACTACCTGAATGGTACTAGCCTACGTATTTATATATACTGTAATGATGTTAATGCTCATTGAAGCCCTTTAATCAATATTTACAAGTAACGCGCATAGTAATCAATACAGTACGCCTTTAGTCAATGCAGATGCACAGCTGACTTTACAGCACATGTCCGTGAATGGATGGATGGACTAACGATCGTCCTTTATTTAACTGGGTCAGAATCGCCGGTGAGATTCAAGTCTCGATAGCAAGGGATACCTCGGAGGCCGGAACAACTTATTTTAACGTGAATGCTCTTGGCGAGTGGTGTGTCTGCATCGTGTTTAACCTGCACTTCACAGCTTTGGGTTGTGTTCGTGATAAATTCAGTCACCCCCCGGGGCGGGCGGACGGGGGGGGGGGGTGGTGGTGTGGGGCGACCGTAGTAGAAATCGAACTGGTGAAAAACTTCACTCAGTGGCAGGGGGCCGTCCATAAATGACGTCACGCGATTTTGGACGATTTTTGACCCCCCCCCCCCCCACACCTTCGTCACACGGCGTCACAAAAAGTCAGACCCCCCCTCAAATATGACGTCACAAAGCTCTGCCCACTCCAAAAAAAAATATAAAACATGCTTCAAATCTCTTTAAACTATTGTCATTGTAGTGCGTATTTAACGTGGCGCTGCACTCTGATGTTGTAGGAGAAAACATTTATTAAAAAGTCTATTTAATTAAGTAGAACGTGTTGTCTAGATTTATTTAAATTTGCGCGTTTTGATGTCACGTCACATTTCTCAAACCTCCCCCCCCCGTCGTCACACATCGTCACAAATGTCTGACCCCCCCACCTCCCTAGGTGCGTGACGTCATTTATGGACGGCCCCCAAGCAGCGAGCTATGCCAACCGCTCGGCCAGGTTGACCACGGCCACCACCGTCCCCACCGCCCCCCTCTGCGGATACAAAAAGACGATTCAATTAAAACGATTCCGTTTGGAAAACGGCACGAGTCTGTGCGCAGTGTCCACGTGACATGTATGTATGTCGAACTTCTTTCGCACCGTACGTAGCCAACCGTACGAATCGGCGGTGGGAGTGGGGGGGGGGAGAACACCAATCTAAACACGAAAAGCAGTTCTCGAGAAATGAGTTTTAGAACTGCTTTTTGCGTTTAGTTTTGTTGTCCTTCCCCCCGCACCTCCGACGTGCGCGACAATCCCGTGGGGGTCTTTGAAATTTATAGTGCTGGGACAGCGCGATTCCTTTAGCTTTGTCTGAGAAACAAAAACAGGACGAGAAAAGAAACGAGGCGTTGAAAAGAAGTACAAATAAAACACCTTCAAAGCACGAAAACGAACATCAAAAAATGACATGACAAATATTATCAAACATTTGGACGCGAGATTTAAATTTGTGAGACAATATCTATAAAAAATTTGATCAAATCTTTCAAAACCTAACTTCGATTAAGTTAATTAACACTCCCGATGTAAGGCATGCCAAACATATGATGCACGTGTAGCATACATGTGCATACCGAAAATGGTTTAACAGTATGCGATCGAGTCACGCTTATGTGGAAAACATACTAATTCAACAGGATCATAAACACGTGCAACACAATATTTTTTCTTTTGAGTTTTTTTTTTACCTTTTAATGCGGATGGCAGTAAAATCAATGAGAGCCATGCATGGTTTTACGAGTGACAGACTTGAAGTCAAATTGGATTAGTTGTCGATTCATAATAAAATAAATCAATATAGGGAAAACACGGACTTAAAACTAAACTGGGAGAGAGCATCGTTGGCAAGGCAGAAAGATATGTAAGACACAAGGCAAAGATGTTAAATATACGCGGCAGAGAGATATTAAGAGATGTCGGCTACAGAGCAGAGGTAGACATATGGTAGATGCTGTACAACGAGGACGAAAGGTGTAAAATACAAGGCAGTCTCCATGTCCAGGTTTTGATTGGCTCAAAGGAGTTTCCCACTTGTAGCAAGCATCCTGTACAAGAGCGTGATCACTTTATCGCAACCCAATGTGCCAGTCGAGCTGTCTGTGACACGGGGGGGGAGAGGGGGGGTTGGAAAAGACGTGCGCATTCCAGAGACTCGTACGGACACAGCGGGATTATCCTTCAACGTGGTTGTGACCCGGACCCCAGATGAGACACCACATAATCTCTTTCAATAGGCGGACGACTCTTCGATGGGCCACCATCTTCGCTGTAACCACTGGAGGGCACTCCTTCACGCTTTCTGGAGAGCGGCTCACCACGTGTCCACTATATATATTTGAGCCCTCCAGGACTGGACCATACCAAATAAAGTGAACGAGCAATTGTATGAAACAAGTTTTTTTTGCGTAGTCATTGGTGGCCAGGCTGAGACCAAAAAAAAAACGCTCGTTGAAGAAACTGGCGCAATCTCAGGCAACTGCCTAGATTCTAATGAAGGCTCTCAGCAGTGCTGGCTTGGAGCTCAAACATTGATGGTATGAACCACCAAAACCACCCGGCCACCTCAACAACCTTAAACCGATTTTACTAAAGTGAAAGCCAAATCAGAGACAACTAACTCCACAACTGAACCTTCGGACTGATTGGCAGAATGCAACAATCTCAAAAAAGGCCTGCGCAATCTTTGTCACAAGAAGAAATTCGTTGATTTCTAAGTTGTGCGCACAAAAAAAAAGACAATCAAGCAAGCAGCCCTAAGGCTGAGTAAAGAGGAGCCATTTTGTGTATTCAAAATATAAGCTGCAGGAGACAGGCGTTTAGGCAATGGAATGGGCACGAAAAGAGACTCACGGCTCTTAGGTCACCGCCAAATTGGAAATGTTTAATTTGTGTCAACGTGGTGCTAAGCAGCATTTGATGCACCCATCCACAATGACAATTCCGCTACCAGATTTGGCTCTATAGCAAAAACATAAATAAAGCATTCTTTGACCGATCTTTTAACGTTTGTTTCTGCATTTCATAAGTGCCGTGCGAAATTACATTGTTTACAACACGCACGTCAGACACCGATGTTGTTTTCTGTTGGTTTATCAAAGTGAAAATCAAGCACATGATTAAATCCTGGAATACCTTTGCAAGAACTGGTTTAGCCAGCTAGGTGTCATAGTGCCATTCCTAAAAAATATGTACTCACATTATTTCAGGACAAGCGGCCTAAAGATATCTGATGCAATAAACTTTTTGACAAGTCAGGGCATTAAAACCCTGACTGGGACATCAATAAGCTTAGGCTTAGTGTCTGAATTGACTGAGGCTCGGGCATATCTTGCGGACTAAATCCTGGAGTCATAGTCCTTTGGCTGTCAGGCATGATGCAGGCTACAGCCAAGTTTCAACGTCAGGCCTAGCATGCTAGCAAAATTTTAACCTGGGCTCAATGGACCTGGGCTCAATGGACCTGGGCCTAAAAACTCGTTACACAATGGCATGATCTTCATGTACTGAGCCATTGGCCTGGTGCACTACAGCATAAATAACCCAGAACCTCACATCAAGCACATTAAAGCCTGGACTGGGCCTCAGGTGTAGCATACTGTACAGCCTCATAGCCACAGCCTTAGCCTCACATCTATCACACTGCAGCATAGTGCTCTGTGACTTGGGCCAAGTGCACTACAGCCTAAACAACCCATTTCCACAAACCTTGCCTTTTGCCTGGTTCACTACACCATAAACAATCCAGAGTCTCACATCTTGTGAACTACAGCCTAGACAAGGCCTCAGCGGGCCCAGCACACTACAGCCTGGTCTGGGCTTCTGGCAGGTACACGTCGAGGCTCTCGTTGCTCTCCGTTGCCGAGCGCTGCCGATACGCCATTGGCCGCTTGGGCGCGGCGGGCGAGCGGGCTCGTGGCTCCGCTGTCTCGATGGACGTCTGCTGCGCGATGCTGGTACGGGGCCTGGGCTGGGGCCGCGGTGACGGGGGTGGCAGCGGCGGTGCCATCAACTGAGGGGTTGGAGTTTGCGACACAGATGACGGCACGGGTGTGTTCCGCTCCTGTTTGGACGACAGTGAGTTTTTTGTTAGTCTTTGCCTACCGTCTCTCTGTGTGTGTATGAGCTAAGGTTACCACCTCAGGTACAAAAAACTGGGACATCTTGGAAAGAAGAACAACTCACAGAAGAAGGGAGAGTTACATGTATGTGTATTGTCTTGAGTGGTGTGTCAATACGCAACTGACACAAACCAGGACTTCCGATGTTCCGGCAAGACTTACAGATTTGCTATGGCAGCTATCCCAAAAAGACAAAATCCTGGAAAAAAACCAGAACAGGTGGTAGGTAACCTTAGTACGAACGTGGGGTGCAGTGGCGCGGGCATTAGCATGCTGCGCTACAATCCAGGAAACCTGGGATCGCTTCCCAGTGAAGCGTTGTATCTGAACTGGTCCTGGGCATCCTGGTGTAGAGGAGAGCCGCCTTCCCCTGACATCCCTTACATATTTCTTGGTTCTTTCGGTAAAGTCACGTAGAAGGGAAATAATAAAATAATAAATATATGAAACAATAACATTCTCACGACGTTTCGACTGCAACACAAGCAATCATCATCAGGTGTGAAAACCACAGCAAGAAAATTTGAAAAAAGTGGCTTTTTTATAACGTTAGCACCACGGAGAGCGATTTGACAGTTATTCAGATGGACGAGTCCATCTATTTTTTCAAATTTTTCTTGCTGTGGTTTTCACACCTGATGATGATTGCTTGTGTTGCAGTCGAAACGTCGTGATAATTTAATTGTTTTATATTTGTATTATTTTATTGTTTCCCTTCTACGTGACTTTACCGAAAGAACCAAGAATATGAATCCCTGCAGTTACGAAAGCTTTAGATCAAAATCCCTTACATCGGTAAACACCAGCATTGGCCGGGCATGGTTTTTTTCCAGCCACATCACCCTCTTTCAAAGGTTCTCTCTAACAGCACTTACCCCAACTGCCCGTGTAGGCAGACGTGGGTGACCCTGTGTCTTTGTGTATGAGCGTGCACCTCTGGGGAGGGAGTGCTGCTGCTGCCGACCCAGCCACGCGCTCGCAGACGTTCAACTTGTTCAAAGCGGCGTTGCACATCCCTCAATGGGATCTGCAGCAGCTCCCAGAAGCCGGCCAGGTCCTCATCAGTGGGGCGCAGCTCCGTTGATGGGTCCTGGTGCACAACGCACGTTAATGTTGCACCGGCTCCCAGTGCATATCCGGATAGTGTAAAAATATCTGCCCATTAAACTGTTAACATTTTTTTTTATTTTACCAGGTAAGACCCACCAAGCTATACAGCTCTTTTTTGGATGCGACCTGGCCACAAATGATAGCTCAATGAAGTGGCTTATCGTGTGGAAATGTATAGCAGCCAAATACTCACAATGCATGATTTCAAATGTGCAGGGTAAAACCGGAGAACCCGGATAAAAACCCACACGACGGGGAGAACATGCAAACTCCACGCGTACCAGGTGAGGTAATTAACATCCCACCACTGTTGGCGCCCTATTAATACGCATGGCCTACGTAAACAAATGTCCGGTCTACTTGTACAAAACCCTCACACTCAAAGCGGACCTCGTGTAAGGGGATAATTTTCACTCTGCAGACAGCTCTGATGAGGACGTCCCGCATGTAAAAAAACACAAGAGTGGGGAGCGAGCCTTCTCGTACGCCGGGCCTAAGGCTTGAAACTCGCTTCCCAGCCAACTGCGTGCCAAGAAAAAAATCAAATATCTTGCGGAAACTTCTAAACTCTTACCTTTTAACCTGGATTTTAATGCGTAAACTCAGAATTAATAATATAATGCGCTGCTGGTCAACACTGTAAGCAGCAAAATATGTTACTTTTATATTTCGTAACGTGTATGCTGGAGGTGGTGTGAATGCGCATGCTGGAGGTGATGTGAATGTGAATGCTGGAGGTGGTGTGAATGTGCATGATGGAGGTGGTGTGAATGTGCATGATGGAGGTGATGTGAATGTGCATGATGGAGATGGTGTGAATGCGCACCCTGGAGGTGGTGTGAATGTGCATGATGGAGGTGATGTGAATGTGAATGCTGGAGATGATGTGAATGTGCATGCTGGAGATGATGTGAATGTGCATGCTGGAGATGATGTGAATGTGAATGCTGGAGGTGGTGTGAATGTGCATGATGGAGGTGGTGTGAATGTGCATGATGGAGGTGATGTGAATGTGCATGCTGGAGGTGATGTGAATGTGCATGCTGGAGGTGATGTGAATGTGCATGACGGAGGTGATGTGAATGTGCATGCTGGAAGTGATGTGAATGTGCATGCTGGAGGTGATGTGAATGCGCATGCTGGAGGTGATGTGAATATGCACGCTGGAGGTGGTGTGAATGTGCATGATGGAGGTGGTGTGAATGTGCACGCTGGAGGTGGTGTGAATGTGCATGCTGGAGGTGGTGTGAATGGGCATGATGGAGGTGATGTGAATGTGCATGCTGGAGGTGGTGTGAATGTGCACGCTGGAGGTGGTGTGAATGTGCATGATGGAGGTGGTGTGAATGTGCACGCTGGAGGTGATGTGAATGTGCACGCTGGAGGTGGTGTGAATGGGCATGCTGGAGGTGATGTGAATGTGCATGATGGAGGTGGTGTGAATGTGCACGCTGGAGGTGATGTGAATGTGCACGCTGGAGGTGGTGTGAATGCGCACCCTGGAAGTGGTGTGAATGTGCTCATTGGAGGTGATGTGAATGCGCACGCTGGAGGTGGTGTGAATGCACACCCTGGAAGTGGTGTGAATGTGCTCGTTGGAGGTGATGTGAATGCGCACGCTGGAGGTGGTGTGAGTGTGTATGCTGGAGGCAGAGCTGATGTTCAAATCGGGTTGATGGTGGTGGTGGTGGTGGTATAATTGGGGCTGGACGTGCGTGTGGCTCTGCTCACCAGGTTGTCCTGACAAAGCCTCTGGAACTGCTGCCACTTCTGGGAGAGCAACAGTCGAGTGGAGCCCACGGCGCTGCGGATCACGCCCAGCGCTGCACAAGACAACCACAACCGCTATCAACGCCGCCTTCGCGGCATCAACTGAAGCCACTGCCTGGCTAACTAATGCGGACGTAGACCCATGAGTTGCTATTCACCCAGCCGTATACAACAGACAGAGAGGATGAAACAAAAACGATTCCATCTGTTCGCAAAATGTATTCACTTAACTATTTGTTCATTAATTTACCAATTGATTGACTCATTTGACTACGTATGGTGCGAAATTAATTTAACATAGATACATATGTACATCACTCGGCTGCTCATTCACCCACACTTCCCCGTGCCGCCGTCTATGTATGGATGTATGTTGAACTTCTTTCGCACCGTACATAGCCAACCGCTCTAATCAGAGGTGCGGGAGAAGGACAACTAAACACAAAAAGCAGTTCTAAAGAAATTCGTTTTCAATCGAGATTTAAAAAGTGCAGAAGCACATCTGTGTGCACGGGACCACAATATCATGAGGAGCCGCAGGGTCACGGGGTCACCTTCCTCCGGCACGTCCGTGTCCTCCGCCAGGTCCTCTGCGTGGCGGCACAGCGCGTCGAGCCGCTGGCCCTCGGACCGCAGTCGCACCAGATACCAGTGGGCGTCCCTGGCCGCGGAGGTACCGGCCGTCGACGCGCCAGGGGAGGGGACCCCAGCGATGGGGATTCCCCCGGCCGGGGCCGCGGAGAGAAGGGGGCTGCGACTACGCGAGGCCCAGGGCCCCGGGGACACCGCAGGGCTTGGGGACGGGGCCCGAGTGGTCCCCTGCGCGTGCTTGTGCGTCTGGGTCTGCACGCTGCGAGAGTGGCACTGCCGTCCCTCCTACGACACACGTGGCGGCGCGGGCAACGGGACGGGAAAAACACACGGGCGAGAACACGATGACACAAAGAATGACAGAAGCAGACCACCCAGACCTAACCTAACTTTAATATAGCTCCAACCCCAACCCTAGACCTAATCGAATTTCCATACAGCCCCAGCCCTAACTCTACACCGAGCCTAGCTTTAAAATAGCCCAAGCTCCAACACAAGACCAGAATTGGCTTCACCATAGCGCTAAGATTGGTTGGTATTTGAACGAGTTTGAACGAGTTCAAATCCCAAACAATCCTAACTTTAATTTTGCTCTAACACTAAAATTAACCCAACTTTAACCCTAGCCCTAACCCTAGCTCTAACACAGCCCTAGCCCTGGCAGTAATCCTAGCCCTAACCCTCACTCTAACACAACCATAACTCCCGCCCTAACCCGAGCCCTTGCACAGCCCTAACCCTTGCCCCAACCCTCGCGCGAACGCGAGCGACGCTCTCCCACCCGTGGGTGCTGGCGGTAGCGAGGGCTGGCCGCGTGGCGTGAGCGGTGGGAGCTGCGGTGCGGGCTGTTGCCGGTGCCGCCGGTCGTGTTTGCCGACGACGAGGACGAGGGCCGCTCGGGAAAGCCGGGCCCCCCGGGGCTACGAGAGCTGCCCAGGATGCGTCTGGAGATCTCCTCCACCTCCAGGTCGGCCTGCACGCTCGTCGCCACGCTGTTGGAGCGAGTGTTGCGCCCGCATCTGCACGTACACGCGCACGCACGCGCATACGCACAGCGCGTGCACGCTTACACCGGCGGTTCTCAACCAGTGGGTCGCGCCGCACCCGGGAGGGCACAGGCTGCGGGATGGACACTGTGCAGAAGACACCTCCGATTAGCAACATACATACGTACACACAAACGTAGGATGTGCATGTGGAACGGCAGGGCTGCTCGGCGGTGACAGAACGCACTCATGGACAACGTGAAACAACTGCCGTACTAACACTGCACTGGCTAAAGGCGTGGGCAACAGTGACTCGTGTGCGACAAGAGACATTTGTGTCGTGAGTTTGGCTGGTGGGGGAGGGTAAGGACCAGTGGTCTTTTGGAGGCTGCCAAACCAAAAAGGTTGAGACTGGCCAGCGAGTGTCCATCATAATTTAATATTCTTACCATGTTTCCCATGCAGCGCAACTCGAGGAGCCAGAGCAAAGGGGTATTTGATTCAATTACTCACAAAGGAAGTGGTTGCAGATCAAACACAATGCTCGAAAACAAAATAAAAACAGAAAAAAACACGAAAAAAATGAGTGAACAAAATTGAAACGCTGAGCTGTCTCCGCTCTTTTTTGTTTTGTCCACTCCGTTTGAGTAACTCCTACGCTATCATGCCCCGGCACGGTGCACATGGGGGGTGGGTTAGGCCAGCACCATGCCTGACTGCCTTTGTCTTCTCAGTGCTGAAATGTTACACGCTGTACCAGGTGCTCGTTTAAAGACAAGTGGAGACAAAGACAAAGATCCCCCGTTAAAGCCTGAATAGACTGTTGGGGCAAGTGCTGTTCACGAACACCTATGAAGACTGGTACGGCACGAGGGGGTGGGTGGGTGGCCAACACCACGCCCGGCCGCCGTTATCCGCCCAGTGGTGATATTTAAACACCGCACCAGGTACTATTTTTTGCTGAGTTGACCTAGGTGAGGCCCATGACTGGTTCAGATAATCGTGACTGGTGTTGGCCATGAGCGTAAATCGAACTCAGGTCACCGGGCTCGTAGCATCAGAGGGATAACCACGACGCTACACCTCCCCACATGAATAAAAAGACAAAGATCCCCTGAAAAGCCTTAAAAGACTGTTAGGGCAAATGCTGTTAGTGAGTAGCACCTATGAAGGCTGACACGGCACAGGAGGGGGTGGTTGGCCAGCACCACACCCGGCCGCCTTTGTTTCCCCAGTGGCGATGTTTACACACCGCACCAGGTACTCATTGCATACAACAAGGTACGCATTTTAAGGTCGAGTTGATTCAGATGAGGCAACACAGAATCCCCAAACCTAGTGCAGCTTCAGGCAATAGAGACGGGGATTGAACGAATTCCTCTCCACAATCATCACTCGCCGATCCTCACCTCCGGTCCTCCTCCACCTGCACACCAATGGACTGGTACCTCCCAACGGGAGACGGAACCGGGGTGCAGACTTCTTCCTCCACGCTGTCCGGCGTGTCCACCTGGTGGCGACGCAGAGACCGGCTCATCGTCAACGACAACCATCAATGGCAGTCAACAACATCCATCGACGCCAGCCATCAACAACCATCAATGACAACCATCAATGCCAGCCACCAACAACCGTCAACAACAACAACCATTAACGCCAGCTATCAACAACCATCAATGACAACCATCGATAACAATCTCCATCTCATCTGCATCTCTCTCTCTCTCTTCCAATCATCTCCATCTCTTGTCTACAGCTATTCCAGGCACTCTGTAAAGTGGATTACAAACGCCACAGTGAGCTGTGAATTATCACACAGCGAGTTGTAAAACCCAGGAACGCAATGTTTATCAGAAGCGATTAATCTTACAAGATGAAGAAACATTTCATGTTCGTGGGCGGCATTGCCGCTCACGACCGAATTGCATGGGGAACTGCACATCCTCATGCAGGCGCTGTGTGTGCACGTGCCAGCCCAAAAGTCCTCGTGTGGGGAGTCGCTTTTACTAGGGCTGAACGATTTGGGGAAAATATCTCATTGCGATTTTTCAGACAGATATTGCGATTGCGATTTGATTTGCGATTACATTTTATAAAGTCAAGCTGCAGTTAAATATTCACTGTGTAATAGATATAAAACATGTGATGGAGCATTACCACATGATACCATCAAAATATGAACTGCTCTATATACTCTAATGCAGGATGAGAACTTAAAACATTAATTGCTTCCAACATGTATTTATTAAAATGTTTTTAATTGAAATAGAACAATCAAACATAGAACAATTAAGTTCAATAAATAAAGTAATAATAATAAAACATAAAACAATTCCAATAAAAAAGTAATAGGACTTTTCAAATCGCAAAGTAATCGCAGCCTTTGCGATTTGCTAATCGCATTGTTTCAAATTGCGATTTCGATTTGAAATCGCTTAATCGTTCAGCCCTAGCTTCTACCCAACAACGCGCATAGCCCCTTTCCCCTCTGGTGAGGATGCTACAGACAAGACAAAAGCACGCAAAGCCGAACTCGGTTTCAACTAAACTATTTTTTTATTTACCGGGTAAAGCTCACTGAGCTATCAACTAGTTTGCAGAGGCGACCGTGCCACATGCGATAGCTCATCGAAGTGGGCGATAGTCGCAGCCAAATATTCGAAATGTTGAGGAGGGGGGGGGGCAAAAGCGGAGGAATCCAGAAAAAAATCTGCACGACCATCACAGAGGGAGAGAACACGCGAACTCCAAATAGACAAATAGACAACAGGCGAGGGAGATAACTACTCCTCGGCACCGCAGAGTCAAAGCCAGAATTATGGATAAGCCAGAAAGGCTACCGAAAATAAATTCATTAAAAAATCCATTAAAAAAGAAACCACACGAGTAAAAAGCAGACTAAGCTGCACACGATAGAATGCAGCAGAATGCTCTATGCAAATCATGAGTATGAAATTCTATATGCGCTTAGTAAGGCTAGGAGGTGTAAGACGCTATGAACCACTATTGACATGTAAATGTGCATGAGTAATTCTAAAGCCATGGTCTATTAAGCACTAATCTGTTGTGTGGGATTTGCACACTAACCTGCACACACACTCACCTGCATACTCTCACACACTCAATAAGACGCTTGCACACAAATGAAGTGACGTAATGGTGTCACTCGGGTGTTCGCGCCAGCTACTGTTACAGGAGTACAACTGTGCGTCCTGGAATCTCTCTCTAGCACCAGAGTAAGTACGGCATGTCAGCCAGCCCGAGGTGGCATAGTCCTGGTGATAGCCTGAGAGAGGGCAAGTGAGGACGAGGTAGCCTGAGTGGGGCACGTGATGCTCAGTCGAGATCCTTCGGGAAAGGTCTCGAAGGGGGCGTGGCCGAAGGCAGAGCGAGGCCACGCCCAGGAGCATCAAGGGGCAGTCCCGAGAGTGTTCTTTGCTCATCGGTGGAATCAAGCCTGGGTCCCGCGTCTCGTCGTCTCCGGGTCTTCGTCTCGAGTTAACTCGCTACTGACATAGTTAGCCACATCACCTACTAGAGAACCTGAGTTACGTTCAGTGTTATCCGCTAGGGAAGTTGTTAAATAAAAGTGTTGCCTCCCAGTCCAGAGTGCCTCCGTGTTGAACACTACACAAACACACACACACCTGCATGCTCACAAAAGACAAAGATCCCCCTGAAAGCCTTAACAAACTGTTGGGGCAAGTGCTGTTAGCGAACACCTATGAAGGCTGGCACGACACATGAAGGGGTGGGTGCCAGCACCACGCCAAGCCGCCTTTGTCTCCCTCGTGGTGATGTTTACACACTGCACCAGGTACTCACTTGAGGCTGAGTCGACCTAGGGGAGCTCAGGACCGATTCAGATAATTGTCACTGGTGTTGGTTGTGAGCGGGAATCGAACTCAGGTCGCAGGGTTTGTACCGCGGCCACTCACACAGACACACACACACACAGACAAACACACACATACCTGCAGGCTCGTACTCACACACGCACCTGCACACCCACGGAGAGACGCTCGCTCCTCTGCGACACCTCCGTCATGGCCGAATCCTCCGACGCGACGCTCCCCGCGTGTCCGCGGCTCCTCGCCCTGCCCTCTGTGCCGCTCGACGGGCCGCTCGAACTACCGCCGCCACCACCGCTCCCGACTCCAACTCCTGTTCCAGCACCACCAGCAACGCCAGCAGCGCCCGCAGCAGGAGCACCGATAGCTCCAACATTGGCGGCGCCAGCTGCATTCGTTGCAGAAACTCCACCACCACCACCAGCAGCGGCAGAGGCGGCCGCCACTCCGTCAGCAGCGCTAGCAGCCATGGCCCGGGCGCTGTCGAGGCTGTCCAGAGAGTCGCTCAACTCCCACGAGCTCCCGTCAGCCGCCGGGCTCTTTGCCGACAGCTTCACGGTGCCGGCGACGGCGGCGGCGGCGGTGGCGGCGGCGGCGGCGGCGCCGCCCGACGGCCAGCGCTCCCTGTCGCGCGACTTCTCCGAGGCGCGGCGCTGGCTGTGCCTTCGCTCGGGTGGCCCGCCCGAGATGGGGCCTCCTCCTGACCCTCCGCTGCTTCCTCCTCCTCCGCCGCCACCGCCTCCGCTGCTGCCGCCCTGCTGCTGCCCACGCTCGGAGGGTGGTGGAGCCGCGGGGGTCGTAGGAGGTTGCGCAAGAGGGCCACCTCCTGCTGTTGCTGCTGCCGCGGACGACGTCGAGGCTGCCACGGCGGCCCCCGAGCCGCCGCCCTTGGCGCCGCCGCCCTTGGAAGTCCGGGGCGCGTCATCCTGCGTCGACTCGGTGCTGCTCTGCGTCGACACGGACGTGGACGCCTTGGCGGCAAATGAGCGGTGCGATGACTTCAGCGGGAGTGGAGGGAGAGACTTGCGGCACACGGTGGCGTACGTGGCCACTGGCGGGTAAGAAGAGGCGTGCGCGCGAAAGAGCGCACATGCAAAAAAAAGACACGACAACAACAATTTTCGATGTACAAACGATAACTTAAAAAAAATTACTGTTTAGTACAATTGGTAAGGTTCACGTGATGAGTGTAAGCCTGCTGGTAAGGAGCAGTGTTACTGCGTGATTTTACCCAATTAAGAAATGTTTACAAATTTGGCAAACATGGGGACCGTGGCGCCAGCACAATAGGCGTCTTTGGAGATTTTATATCCACGGTTAATACACCCACAGAATGAATTAGAGCGCCACGTGTGGCAAACACGCTCCTGCTGCTTGGGTCAGGTCACGTGCTTCGAATGAGGCATTAGACATGGCCTCGTCTAAATCCGAGCAGTCGGCCCAGGCTGTCCACAGAATCAACTGAATATTTATTTAGACTGGAGGAATCCGATGAGCGATCAAGCTCTATTTGACAAATGCCCAGTAGGGCCACAGATGTCCAGTAGGTCACAGATGTCCACACCGACTCACTCGGAGCGGGCGACTTGGACGCGCTGCCCCCAATTTTTCCCGATGGGCCCGTTGCTGCCGCCGCCGCCGCTGCCGCGCCTTCCTCGCCGTCTTCGCAGCCGGCCTGGATGGCGAAGAGATAGCTGTGGCGCCGGGTGCGCATGCAGCGAGGCAGGTCCAGCGCCTCCATCGCCTGCGAGCCCCTGGGACCTAGGCCCTGACCGGCTCCAGGCACGGCCAGCTCTCGGCTCTAGGAGGCAAACAGAAATGAAATATATCAACGCAATCATGGGATCTCTTTTGCCAGTACTAAAATATAAGAATGGGGTTTTCCCCTTTTATCTGGCAACAAAACAGGTGTTAAGTTGTTAAAACACCAAACTGAAACCTTTTGTTGCCAGATAAAAGGGGAAAAACCTATTATCATATTTTGGTACTGGCAAAGGAGGTCCCATGATGTAGATGCTCACCCGAGCTCTCATTACCCTGATAGTGGCATTGTCTTTGGGCTGTTCGCCTTTTGGCGTCCTCTAGTCTCTGGTGTGGACCAATCAGTTTCAAAGACAATGCATATATTATCAGAGTATGTTTTTTGTTTGCATTTTGCCCACAAGTACTGTGGTTAATGCAGACATGATTCCTTGTACAAGGTTTTAGTTTGATGTTTTAACAACTTAACACCTAAATTTTGATTTAAAGCTTTCGTGACTGCAGGGATTCATATTCTTGGTTCTTTCGGTAAAGTCATGTAGAAGGGAAACAATAAAATAAAAATAAAATAAAAATATAAAACAATAAAATTCTCACGACGTTTCGACTGCAACACAAGCAATCATGATTGCTAAGCCAGAATCATTGGAAGGATTTGATAAACCATTTCGGGTCTTAATTGATTTTTCACGCTGACGGTGGCTTTCAGACCGCATCCATTATTTTTGTCTTCCCCCTCCTCTTTTCCAAACATAGATGGACTCGTCCATCTGAATAAACTGCCAAATCGCTCTCCGTGGTGCTAACGTTAAAAAAACGCCACTTTTTTCAAATTTTCTTGCTGTGGTTTTCACACCTGATGATGATTGCTTGTGTTGCAGTCGAAACGTCGTGAGAATCTTATTGTTTTACATTTTTACTATTTTATTGTTTCCATTCTACGTGACTTTACCGAAAGAACCAATAATATGAATCCCTGCAGTCACGAAAGCTGTAAATCAAGAGGTATGGCTCATTATAAATCCGTGACTGGGTGAATGCTCAGGATTTCTCTGCGCTGCCCTCTGTTGACCACAACGCATCCTTGCAGCAGTCGACAGCACCAGTTGTACGCGCGGCGATGATCCGCCGATCCAGGCACTCTCTCCAGGCTCAAGCCTGCTTAGACCTCTGAGATATGACCAGATCAGATTAGGTCTGGGTGATCTGGTCCAGAAGCATATGTAGAAAAATTGCTTCCCAAGGTGAGGGGTGGAGGGGCCTGGCAGTGCTACCAAAAATTCCAATGCTTTTTTCTTTTAAAACAGGGCCCCCTCCATTGATCAATAAAATCATTGCATGTCTTTTCCCTGGTGGATATCAACAAGATACGAATTTTATGGATCACGAGGCGGGAGGGGGGCAATCGCCCCCATCGCCCCCACCTTCCATCCACCACTGATGGGCACCTCCGTTGGAGCTATGTCACTGCAGCTATGCACTTTTAAACGATCGAGATTGAAAACTAATTTCTTAAAAACTGCTTGTTGTGTTTAGTTTGCTGCCCTTCCCCCGCGCGCCTCCGATTAGCACGGTTGTCTACGTAAGGTACGAAAGAAGCTCCACATACATACACACACACACACACTTGCACTGATCAGGTCACAGGTCAAAAGCACAGCTGGCGGCGGGGCGGTGGGCGGTGGGGCGACACAAAACGATAACGAAGTGGCTGCTTGCACCCACCTGACCGTGCCGGCTCAGTTGGCTGTGCTGGCCCCAGGTGTTTCCCTTGCTGTGCGAGTGCCCGTCCTGCGCCGTGGAGATCCCCACCTGGTCCAGGCTGTCCAGACTCCGGTTCAAGCTCGCCTCCTTGAGCAGCCGGGGACAGCTGAGACACGCAGGCACACAAAGACAAAAATCAACCCGTGTAGCTTACGTACAGACCTCGGGGGGCGACGGCGGGGGGGGGGGGGGGGAGGGGGGAGTAAGTGCTGTTAGCGAGCGCCTCAACGAAGGCCAGCTGGGCGCACGAGGAGGGTGCGGCTGTTTCCAACGCCATGCCCATCCATATTTGTCTTCCCCAGTTCTGATGTTTACACATCACACCTCATCGGCACTTGATGTAAGGTTCGCAGGACGCCGTTACACTACCACTCCACACACGCGCACGCACACACACACACAAACGTGCAATTACACACCAATGCAGCTGGAATGAGGTTAAGTTATCTTCCTGGCCCGGTGGCTTAGCTATCGAGTGTGCAAGCCGTGCAGACTGCATTGTGGTCCTGCGGCCAGAGGGGCACAGGTGCTGGGCTACAAAGACGGGGGAGAAAATTGGATAGGGAGCCAGCATTTCATTTAGTGCACCAGGGCCATGCCCTTCGTCCTTGTTCGAGCTTCAAGCCACCTTGAGAACCATCTCGCCCGTGTCGTCCTCCGCGCCTTCCCTCCCCTCTCTCCGCTCCCTCTACTGGCTTCCCATGGCCCGCAGGGTCAGCTGTAAGATGACCTGCCTCTGCCACGGTACCTCGACTTCGGGTTGTTTCACTGCGACTTTCTTCACTCCTCTCACCCTGCACTCCAGCTCGGGCTAGAACTCTTCGCAGCAGCGTGGCTCACAACCTCCTCCACTCTGCACAAAGGACCGGGACCATCATCACTGCCGCTCGCCATGTCTCCGTGGCAGCCCTCGCTGTGTGGAACGCGGCCATCATCGTCCCACTGCGCATTCCCAGCAGCAGCGTTCAACCTACGCTGACTTTGAATAGACACTTGAAGAGCCCCCTCTGTGTGTATATTTAACTTCTTTTGCACTGTATGTAGCCAACCATGCTAATCGGGAGGTGCGGGGGAAGGACAAAATAAACACAATAGGCAATTCTAAATAACGGAATTTTCAATCTAGATAGAAAAGTGCATAGCTCCAGTGGCTTCCTAATATCGGAAGGAAGAGCGTTCCAGACGGCCGCGGAAGCACATCTGACAGCGCACGATGCAGTGACTGTCTTTGTTCGATGGCTAGCCAAGGATGACCGGAGTTTGGATGATTGCCTATGCTCCTCTATCATCTGGCTTTCAGTCATTTATGTCCGTGAAATATTGTGCGCCCTCTCGATTGCATTATCGTTACATATTAAAAACGGACTTCCTATCTGTTCATTACTTATTCTTTATCTTCTGATGGTGGCTTACCCCATTGATGGAGGCCGCCTCAACGAGGAGCGGCGGTGGTGCGGTGGCACCTCCGATGCACCACCACCACCACTGCCACCACCGCTACTCCGGCTGCCCACTCTGTGCAGCTGCTGGTGGTTGTGGTGCTGGTGGTGCGGCGGTGGCGCGGCGCTAGAGAATGAGGCACCCCCCCGCTGCTGCCGCTGCTGTTGCTGCTGCTGCTGCTGGTGGTGATGATGTTGATGGTGGTGATGGTGGGGAGGGTCGCCCTCCATCGCCATCATGTAGCTGCCACTGCGCATCCGGCGGCACGGGATGGGGGCGACGGTTTCCGGGTGGGAGGGAGCGCAGCACCGCGGCGGGGCGTCATCGTGCGGGACCTGCATGGGGACACAGCGGAGGGACGAGCAGGTGGGGCGAGCAGAGAGACACGCACGTGGACGCGTGCTCACACACACACACACGTGAACACACAAACAAGCAGATAAGGCACGTGGACAAGCAGGTTGACACGCAGGTTGAAAAAGATAAGGCACGTGGACAAGCAGGCTGACACGCAGGTTGAGGTGTGGACAAGCAGGCTAAGGCACAGATAAAGGTCCGGAAAGACATGTGGAGAAGCAGACTGACATACAGATAGATGTGCGGATAGACACGTGGACAGGCAGATTGACACAGATAGACGTGCGGGCAGATGTGTGGACAAGCAGACTGACACACAGATGGACGTTTGAATAGACATGTAGACAAGCAGACTAACAAACAATGCATGCACAAACACAGATAAAAAAAAGAGACAAGATCTCCCATATATAGCCATAACAGACTGTTGGGGCAAGTGCTGTTAGCGAGCATGAAGGCTGGCACGGCACACTAGGGGGTGGGTGGCCAGCACCACGCCCAGCCGCCTTTGTCTCCTTAGTGGCGATATTTAAACACCGTGCCAGGTACTCATTTGAGGCTGATTCGACCTAGGGGAGGCCCAGGACCGATTCATATAATAGTCACTGGTGTTGGCCGTGACCGGGAATCGACCCTGGGACGCCGGGTTCGTAGCGCAGCGCGCTAACCACTGCACTGCACACACTAACACGTCAACCAACACACAGACAGGCAGACAGACGAACATGCAGAGAGACACGCATATGTGCACATGGACAAGCGGGCATGAAGGACAAGTGGATAGACAAACATGAAATCTGTACAGTATACAGTCAGAAAAGGAAGTTGGTCATTCAATCGGCCATTCAGGACAGACACTCTATCCTCAAGGTGATGAAGTACGTACACTCCCTTCTGGGTTCGCTGGGCATGGGATGATAAAAGAGGGCTCACTGGGAATGAGGTAATGAAAGAGGTATCTCTGGACGTCTCAAGAGACGCTCGTTTGGGGGTGTAAAGTGCGAGGCTCTGTGAACAGCAGCAGCAGGAATCTGAAATTGATACCTTGATCGGCAGATTGTAATGATTTTCCAAAACCAGCTCAATCCGGCTGCCTTCCGCTAATTTTACCGTGCACGAGACGTATTACAAACACACAAGCACGTACACATTGATATCCTATATACAGGTACTAGCTTTACTACCCGGCTTCGCCCGGGACTTGGATTCTTGTCTTGGATTCATTTAATATTCCCTCATATGTCACTGAAAAACCCTGAAAAAAATTTATGCTTGCAAGAAAGAAAAAAGCCAAAACAATAAATGTAACTAATTCAGTCATCACAAATTATATATTCATAGTGTAATTATTTAAACACTTGGCCATACACAACATTTTTGTTTTATGTTTCTTCATCGGTGAGAATGTATAATTTAGTTGGATCCTTTGCTCTTGACATTCCAACATACAGCTGTCCATGTGAGAAGCGTTTGTCTGTCAAATCCAAGCCCGTAACTTTAAGTGACTGTCTCTGCGATTTATAAAGGGTGATTGCAAATGCAAGCCGAACAGGAAAATGTAATCGTTTGAATGAAAATGGCAAATAAGTTGGATTCAATGGAATCCTTGGAATGAAGACGTGCTCGCCTTCAAATGGACCAGTTAGAATCGATGCCTCGATGACATGAGCATTTAATGCATTCACTGTCAGTCTTGATCCATTACACAGTTTTGGTGGGTCCAAATTTCTTAAGAGCATGATGGGAGATCTAACTTTCAGCACTAATTTGTGTGGCGGAATTCCGTTTGGATTCAAAGAAATCAAAAATTCTACCGGATAGCTTGTCGCTTCGTCTTCATTCATACATTTGTCAATGGAGAAGAATGTTCGTGAAAGTGCTTGAATCATTTCTTGAATGGATTTGTTGATTTCCTCAACTTTGACGTTTCGTGGTGTCAGAATTGCACGTTCCTTAAGCCATTTGCTATTCAGAAGATTTGCTCCGATGTTTGGTTACACGCAATTGATGAGACTCTTCAGAGTAAGATAAATTTTGCAGAATTCTTTGGAGAGCTTGATTTTTCCAGTTTAAATTTTTGCTTCCTTGCCGTTGCCAATGTTGAGCAAATACTCATAAAAATTATTGGAGTCATAGCTATCGGATTGTTGAACTCTCATGTTGGTCGTGAGCTTCATTGTTGAGATGTCTCTCAAAAGCTGTGATGATTTCAGGCAGGTTTTGATCTCATCAACCATCGTGCCTTTTGGAATCACTTGTAACGTTTGGCGAAAATTACCAACAAGGACAACAATCAAACTGCCCTTAAGATTTTTGTTGCCGCGAATGTCTTGCAGTGTTCTGTTGACTGCCTCAAATCCGTGCTTATGCATCATCGAGATTTAATCCCAGAATAACGCTTTAGCTTCCAGCAGTACTTTGGCCTTTTCACTTCCTTTCTTGATGTTGCAAATGGGCGCTTCATTATGGACCAAGTCAATCGAGATTTGAAGCGTTGAATGTGCTGTTCGTCCACCAGTCATCAACGTTGCAGCGATGCCAGAAGATGCAACAGCAAGTGCAATCTTCAATCTCCTCTGATGCGGGCCAGCAAAACATTGATCAAAAAAGTATTTCCGGTTCCTCCAGGCGCATCGATGAAAATTACTTCGCCTTCGTTGGTGTAATGTCGTCGTAGAACCTCTTGATAAATCGTCTGTTGCTCTGCATTCAACAGTGGCTCGTTCTGCGTGACGTAATCCAGCATTCTGTCAGTCATATGACAACTCTCTAAGCATTTCTCGAGTCATGTTCACTTCTTGCTGTTGTGAAGGACTTGTCATGCCGTTCTCCGACAAAGACTTTCCAATCATCTCCAAAACTTAATCTTCAATCATGATAAGTGCCTCATTATAGATGTCATCAGTAAATTCCAAAGTAATTTGAGGATTATCTCGTCGAAGTCTATTGTGGCTCTCCCAAAGTTATTTAGGATTTGATGGTTCACAAAACAACAGGATGACTGCGAAGAGAGTTCTAATTTTTGATGGTGATTTCGATTCCTTCGCATCCTTCAATGTCTCGTGCCATTGATTGTCGTTCTCTAGTAGTCCCAATGGCAGGCAAGCTTCATGATACGTTTTGTGTTCAACTCCATTGACTGTTCGGAGATCTTTTGATTTAAAGCTTTCGTGACTGCAGGGATTCATATTCTTGGTTCTTTCGGAAAAGTCACGTAGAAGGGAAACAATAAAATAATAAAAATATAAAACAATAAAATTCTCACGACGTTTCGACTGCAACACAAGCAATCATCATCAGCTGTGGTTTTCACACTGATGATGATTGCTTGTGTTGCAGTCGAAACGTCGTGAAAGTTGTATTGTTTTATATTTTATTATTTTATTGTTTCCCCTACGTGACTTTACCGAAAGAACCAAGAATATGTCCAGAGATCCTTGAAGCAAGTTGGGCCTTTGACTTTGTGCAACAACATTCTCAAGTAGTAGCAATCGAAGTTTCTCATGTGGACTGTGTAAACACGGCCAAGAGCATCGCCAGATCGAATGCCGACATGTCCTTCAACAATTGCACCTTGTTTGCGTCGACTGCAGACTTTCTTTGACTTGTCCCATGTGTAATACTTCGGAACGTCGCAATAGAGCAGTGTTTTTGCAAAATCGTCCGTTTTGCATAGCTCCAAGAATCCTGTCAATGTTGTGTTTGGTGGATTGGGCAGAAGATTTTGCAAATTGCCTTGGTTAAAATAGATGCGCTGACCATTTCCGAGGTGAACATGAAGATGCACGACTGTTGGGTATCGTTCATGGATCGGAAATCCGAAAATTCGCTGTGCCGCTTCATGACTGGAGATGCACCGGCCTGCCTGGTACTCCGAGATCTCATCAATTTCGGCATTGTTACGTGTCGCAGTAAAGACTCCTTGATTGGATCCCTTGTGGACATGCTTGAGGATGTATTTAATCGATTTCATTGAGTTGCAGCACTCAATGTTGATGTGGGCATCGAACATCTTCAGAAGCAAAGGACTGTATGGAACGATCCAGAGTAAAAAGGTGTCAGTTTTGTTGCCAGAAAAAAGGGGAAAAACTCCTATTATTACATTTTGGTACTGGCAAAGGAGGTCTAATCATGTAGATGCTCACCCCGAGCCCTCATTACTTTGATAGTGCATTGTCTTTGAGCTGTACGACTTTTGACGTCCTCTAGTCGAGCACCAATTGGGTCGAGGTTCAAAAGAAAGCCGTCCCTTTGTGTGGACCAATCAGTTTCAAGGACAATGCATATATTATCATAGTGTGTTTTTTGTTTGCATTTTGACTGCAGGTATTGTGGTTAATGCAGACATGAATTCTCGTAAAAAGGTTTCAGTTTTGTTGCCAGAAAAAAAGGGGAAGAAACCCTATTATTACATTTTGGTACTGGCAATGGAGGTCTAATGATGATGATGGTTGTCGTTTGTCCACCATCTTCAGGTTTACGGCGATGATACAATGGGTAGCCGTCTGTTAATGTTTGCGTTTCCTTGATGAATTCACGTCGAAATATCTTGCTGCACATCTTATCCTTCGTGCATGGAGACTGCCAATTGTCGTAAAGCTCCTTATCGGTATCGGGATCGGGAATTTCAGTAGAGATGATGTCGTCAATTTGATTTGTTTTCAGTCCATTCGTCAACCAAATCAAAATGTGTGCATGTGGAAGACCTCTCTTTTGCCACTCGATGGAATAAAGCCAATATTTAACCGAGCCAAAAACTTCGCCTTTGATGAGAACATTCATGAATTTGATGAGCTTCTGCTGGAAAATTCTTGCCACCAAATCATGTCGGTCCGTTTTTGATTGGCCGTTAATCAAATTATCTTCCATCTCATTGCAATGAGGATTGAACGTGTACGTGATGAATGATGACGGCTTGCCTCCATGACAAACGTAGGTGATGGCGTCTTGTGCATATTCATGCATGTTTTGTGGCCTTCCGGTATATGTTGATGGCAAAATCACTAACTTGCCGTGATTTTCTGCATTGCCATTGTTCACAATCGCATCTTTCAAGTGAATGTAATCATCGACACGAAGCTTCTTTTGGTTCAATCGGATGATGAGCAATCTTTCAGTCTCAATCTTGGCATACATGTCAACCAAATATTGATGCAGTAACTGTCGGTAATTTAGCAATCGGTTCTCATTCGATCGCATCATCAATCGATAGGCGTAATACGACATTGCCGACACCATTTTGTTGGCTTTATTTTACATTCCTGGCTGAACTTGATTGATGTTGATGGCATATCCGTCCTCGCCACATGGAAACATCAGCGGATATTGCAAAGCGTCATACAAAATGTGCATCTCGGAAATACTCTTAAGGTCCTTGTTATGCATAGTCAAAACAATATCGCGCTTTTCAAAATAATTTCCAGCAATGATGATGGCGACTCGACTACCGGTGCTTAAAGACACGTGCATGGCCTTGTGCTGGTTTCTTGTTTGCCTTAATGACGATCTTTAGGTCTTCACTTGGATTATCGTCAAGTGCCATTTTTAATTGCAGCATCTTTTGCAAGGAAGCGATCAAGCTTTTGTTGGTGGCAGGAATCACAGCACAACGACGTTGCGCTTCTGTTTCTTCGTCGCCAAGAAAGTAAATTCGTAGGAACTTTGACTCTTCGTTGGGCAACGATAGGAGAGAGAGCCAGCCTTGTGGTGCACTTCATCTTGAATTTAAAAAGTTGGCATGAATCCAGTAGGCATTGGCACAGATGTTCCAAACGAAGTAATTTGAAAACTGCAATTGTATTTGCAGATCAGGCTTAGATATTCTTTCGACTCTGGATGATCACCATTCATAAGGCTCTTCAATGGCTCTGGCAATTCCGGAAGCTCTGGAAACCAAATCTTTCGACCGGAACAGGACAATCCTGGTGTCTCGCCTTCAAGCTTCAGCGCATCGCAAAAAGTGCACTTCACAGTCATGCTACCAATGACAATCAGAGGAAAGTTTGAATAATCCAATTCAGGATCATAATTGAATGCTTCGTCCTTCAAATATAGCCAGTTTCTTGCCCGTGAGGTGCCTTGTCGAATTCTCTCCTGCTGGAGTCGATCTCTGCGAGCCTCAACAGTTTCAGCCAAAATTCGTTTCTGGTGAGCAATTAAACCACTTTGAATTCGTTGCTGTTGCTGCTCCTCGCTTTCAATAGCTCTCGAGTTTGAAGCTCGTTGCTTCATCTTGTAGCAGTTCGCAATCGTTGTTCAGCAAGTCATGCCTCTGTTTCCTCAGCAGTTTCGTTGCTTCGTCGAAAAGCTTGTTGAGTTTTGTGTGCTTCATGTGCTTGTGATCTTTTCTCTTCCGATTGTTCGGCTCGTGACAGCTTTTGATGTTTTGTGTTCATTTGAGTTTGATAAAAAAAAAAATTGGGTCTCTTCTTTTTGGGCATTGCTGTCAAAAGTATTCGTCGAGTATAAGCAACGAAATGTACGGAATGTATGGAATCTGTAGGGAATGTCACAAAAACGTTATCAAGCAAACATTCAATTTTTACTCTATGTTGATTCGGCTCAGCAATATTGATTTACCTTAGTGTTTCTTTCATCTAAAATCTCAAAAAGTTTCCTTCAATTTACACAAACTTACATTGTAAATCTTTCACTAATGAAACACGCGATGAGGAAACACAACGTTAGGACACTTTTACAATTATAAGAATCTCTGACTGAACAATATTCTTAGGAATGAACGTCGCCAGATTCTTTTTCTAAATCGGATGTTTTTCACTCAAGGAAATTCAACCTGAACCCACTTATACGTAAGGTCGATTTTGGCAACTCGGGAAGGGAATGACGTAGCGAGCTGAAAATAGTCGCGTTCACTTAGAAATTCCAGACAGCATAAGCTGTGCAAATTTCATGACGCCAGAGCTCAGCGTTCGAGAGTTTTTGCTGCTTCACACAAAGAAACAGATGTGCTTTCTGCTTTATAATTAAGATTACATGTATATATGAAAATATGGATGCAAAAGCTATTTATTCATGCACATGGACAACGATGTTGGTAGATTTATTTTTATCTCATAAATATACTACGTAAATAATACAAAGTATAACATGTTCAGTGCAAATGTACACAATGGTAGCAATAGGTGCTTGTTTGTACACTACAATACACATATTGTGCACGCTAAAATATACGTAAAAATGCAGATAACGCACACGCACAATGATATTTATTTATATGCCTGAAAACACAACTCACCTACAGGTCACAATACACCATAGATCCCCGGACAGCCTTTAACAGACTGTTGGGACAAGTGCTCTGAAAGAGCACCTATGAAGGCCAGCACAGCACACAAGGGGCTGGGTGTCCAAAACCACGTCAGGCCGCCTTTGTCTCCCCAGTGGCGATGTTTACAGGTCGCACCAGGTACTTAACTGAGACTGAGTCGACCTATGGGAGGCCCTGGACTGATTCAAATATTTGTAACTGTTATTGGTCGTGAGCATAAATCGAACTCTGGTGACCTGGTTCATAGCGCAATATACTAACCACTGCGCCATTATACACACACACATATATCTCACCACAAATGCAAAGGCAACGAGGCCTAAAGAGGAAGGTGCGGGGTCTAAAGAGGAAGGTGCGGGGCCTAAAGAGGAAGGAGCAGTTGTCACGAGAGAGGGGCATGGTCTAAACAGGAAGGAGGTGAGGCCTGAAGGAGGAAGGGGCAGGGCCAAAAAAAACCCACGATTCTGAAAATATTACTAAAAAACCTGAATTCAAATGTAGAGGAGAGGTTCAAAGTGCACGAGACAACAACAATTAAATCCTATGTGTAGGGGACTGTAAGGAGAACGTGTTAGAGTGTACACGCTCAAAGGCGGAGCCAGGATTTTCAGGTAGGGGGGGCAACCCCTCCAGCAATGAAAAGCGATAAGAGTTGTTAGTAAGTAAGGACTTGTCCCTTGCTTTTTATTCTACGCATGTGCGGTGATGGCGCAGCCATCGATCGAGGGTCGAATTCGAACCGCGTTGTGTGATCGGCATCGCGCTCGCTGAAGGTATGCTTTCAGGGAAGTCGTGTACCGTATATGCAACTGCGCACAATTCTGTGAGTTGCTTATAACTGCTTTGCCGTTACCTATTGCCAATTATGGACTCAGACTATTATAGAGTCCCTGGCACATAATTATATGCTACACATTTGCAGTGAAGATCGCAAAATGCCGATTTATTACTAATAATCCTTAATGATCTGATCGAAATTAGGGATTTCGATCGGATTATTGGGGGGCATGTGCCACCCCACCCCCCTCCCCCACACGTTGGCCTGCAGTCTAGGCGCTTGCTCAGGGACCAACAAGCTACAAGGTGGACGACATCGAGGCTGACTGTTTGCGGAGCGACGAGGTGGAAACCATTGGGTCTGACTGATCACGGAGATGTAAATACAAATTCTCTAGAAATAAAGACGTCACCTTTTTAAGAATGGACGTCTCCAAGGAGCGTCTTTACAAATGCAGTCACAGGCTAGCTTATATGAGTATATTTTAGTCCATCGGTCGAATGGGTTTATATGCCAATAATACCCAGCAAAATAAACGTATTCAAACAAACTCTGGGCTGGCTTTGACTACTCTAAAGTCTCATTAGCAGAATTGGGCCTATTAAACAAATGCTGATGGATGTCCAGATGTTTTTGGCAGGTGCCATCAATACTGATGACCTTGGTGTCTTACTATTTTGAGCCCACGCACAGTGATAATGCAGATATTATTACACTTTTACACTGACAAATCCAAGCTGAGCCAACCGCGATGCTCTATCATAAAGCCTTGGTGGGCATATGTGCGCCGCATGGATAGTACCTGGAGGTATTGGTGTCGCGGCGGGTACTCAGACCTCCCTTCCGAGTTGTAGTAAGCCCAGGGGTCGCTGGGCGCAAGGGCCGGTGGGTAACTACGCCCGCGCACTGCCCTCGCATGCGGCACAGGCCCCACCACGGCTGCCCCCCCGATGGCCATCTTGCCACCAGGTCCAAAGCTCCCATCGCTGTCCAGGTTGTCATCCGAGCTCCACCCTCCTGCGATCACCCTCCCTCCTCCGCCCCGCGCCTCGGGCCTCCAGTCCCGGCTGCGGCTGCGTCTGCGGGTGCGCTCGCTCGCGGCCGATGGGGCTTGTGCCGCTGCCGCCGCCGCATGCTGCTGCTGCTGCTCCCCACGGCTGCAACTCGGCTGCCGCCCAAGTGAATGCTCGCGTCTCCTTTGCTGCTGTTGCTGCTGCTGCTCAATGCCGTGCTCTGCCCAGCCGCTGCCTGTCTGCTCCCAGCCAGGATGCGGTTCCCAGCATCCCCCGCTGCCCCCACTGCTGCCGCCGCCACCACCGCTGCTGGACAGGAGATGCTCGGCCGCTGATCGCGACTGCTCGCGATGAATCGACTGCTCGCGGCTGCGGCACGGCTCCCCGGCCCGGGCCGACTCGCGGTGCCGGGATGGGTCGCGGCTCCTGGTGGGCGGCTGCTCCCAGGAAGAAGGGAGCGCTGGCTGCTGCTGCTGCAGCTGCTGCTGCTGCTGCGGCGGCAACGACTGCTGCTGCAGCTGCTGCTGAGAGTGGAGCTCTTCGCGGCTGCGGGAGGAGTCACGGTGGCGCGAGGTCTCGCGGCTGCGGGGTTGCCCCCCGCCTTGGCCGCGCGAGGAGGCATCGCGCGATTTCGATGCATCCTGGCGGCGAGAGCGGCGCGAACCTCGGCCGGACGACGAGCCCGACGAGCCGGACGTGGGCGCGGCGCCGTCGGCTGCCCCCGCCGCTGCCGCCGCGTGCGACTTGGCGAAGAAGAGGCGCTGCATGGAGTGCACGAGCTGCCGCAGGCCACTGGGACTCTCGCTGCGGTCCTCGGGGGTTGGCGGGGCCGTATCGGTGGGGCAAAGGGTCAGGGGCGGGCGCCCACTGATGCTGCCACCGCCGCCCGGTCCCCGTGAGCCGTACTGCCAGTCGTACATCGGCACGCGCTAAGGGGGGCAGACGGAGGACAGTGCAGCGTCTTAACTCATCGACGATCGCATTACGCATGTGTATATTGAACTTCTTTCGCACCGTACGTAGTCAACCTCGCTAATTGGAGGTACGTGGACCACAAACTAAACACAAAAAGCAGTTCTAAAGAAATGAGTTTTCAATCTCGGTCACGAGCTGCACTGACTAAAATCCAAAGGGCCACGGCCCACACATGCATCTATATTAAATAAACCAATACTGAGGTAGGAGATGTATTCATAAGGACAGTATAAGACAGTGACAGATGCATTCACAATAGATGTAAGAGATGTTTGTGTAATAGACACGTGGTATAGGAGATTTATTTGAAAGAGATATGAGAAAAGGGATGTATTCAGAACAGATATGTGTCAGGGGATGTAATCAGAAGAGAGGTAGAATAGCTATGGGCCGCATTTTTCCCGCGGACTCTAAATATCTCTATTGGACTGGCACAACTGAGCCACGTAAGAGCCGTGCTGAGGCAGCCTGGCTCGCCAGGGTGTTAATCAACTACAGACTCCAAGCTGTGCCACTGAATGAGTCGAGACGGATGCAGGTGATGCAGTGACTCAATGTACATTAGCCCTGCCACTGGCCCTGCTTGGCTCGGAGCCAGATTAAAATGTCTAGTGAAGCCAGTGTAGCATGGTTTGGTTCCAGTTTGGTTCCCGTTCTGGCACGGTTCAGATGTACCAGTGGAAAAGGAGTATAATAATAATTAACATTTGTAAGGAGCCTTCTACTGTCTCAATTTGAACAGCTCTGACTTAATTTACGCAACTTCATTATGATGATGATAATGATGGCGATAATTCCCCCGGTGTTTAGGGAAGCGATAATAACGACACCAACGGGCTGTGCTACTGACGAAGCTGGTGATGACGATTGAACAATGAACAGCAAACGATCGGCGTCATGGATATGACGTGAGCGACCATTAGGGCGACAAGTGTAGGGGAGGGTCTTTCACCTCGCTCGGTCTTCCGTAGTACTGACGCGCCAGTGCCTCGTCCACGGGACGCATCATTGTGCCGCGCGGCTCCTGTCCCATGGGAAAAGAGTCCATGGGCATCAGCACGTGGCGCTGTCGCACCGCGCCATATCCCTCCCCTAGGTCCGGCCCTTCCGCCGGATGCGGGCGCACGTGCATGTGGGCGGGGTTCAGCGGCAGGTGGGCCGAGCCCAGAGCCGAGTGACTTGCGCTGAGCGTCATGTGACCACCCGGGTTCATGCCCTGGTGGGCGGAGCCCAGCGAGTGGGTGGGGCCCAGGGTCATGTGACCTTGGTGGTGGACGGCACCCATTCCCGAGTGGGCCGAGTGAAGACTCCCGTGGCCAAGGCCCATCCCCTGGTTGGCCGAACCCAAGGTCATGTGACCTGCGTAGAGGCCCGGGTGGGAGTGATTCATTCCTGAGTGAGTGGAGCCCAGGGTCATGTGACCTGGGTGGGAGGGGTTGAAGCCTGCATGGGCGTGGTTGAACACCGAGTGGGCGGAGTTAAAGCCCGAGTGGGTGGGGTTTAGTCCCGGGTGGGCTGAGTTGAGGCTGGGCTGGGATCCGTTGCTTGAGATGCCTTTCATTTTATTTGGTTGTCGAGTTCGTGCCCATCCACGTCATGTGGTTCACCTGCCCAACAACAAGACCACACCCGGAGATGGTTAAGCATGCAACACGCGCGTTCACCTGGCCACACGTATGTTATACATTCATGCAACAAATGACAAACGCCACACAGAATGAGCAACAATGAAAACCGCTTTTGTTTCTCGCGTGGACCAGTGGTCAGCGGGAGGGATCTCAGAGGTAGCTCTGTGGTATCCTCTTCAGTGGGCCATTCTTTGATAAGAAAAGCTGCACCTGCTCTGCATCAAGAGTGATCGTGATACATTTATGGGGGCGGGAAATAAAGAGTTCCCAGAAACCCAGGTTCAATTGCTCGCCATGGACATCAATGGCCTTTTTTCCCCCCGTACCTGTCTTGGAGCACCCCTAGGTTGATTTAACCTAAAAATAATACTCAGGGTACAGGTGGCTCGGTATTACCACCCTCTTGTGTTCCACGCCAGCCTTACCGCGCACTTGCTAACGGCACTCGCGCCAACGGTTTGACACAGGCAAGGATCGAGAGCTTTTTAGTTTCGTTTATAATACGTATTGCACTGTATTCATATATTCCCACGTGTAACAATATCTTTTTGGGTTTCCGTCAATTTAGAACACCTACACAGGCAGGCCATATCCATCACTTACATGTAGATGACACGCACACACACACATTCTTCTGCCGCTAGGTAGGGGCGGTGGAATTGCTGTCATAGCTCCACTTTACCTCTCGTGAATCAAAATCTTTTGAGCATTAATCCAACGGTCTCTTCTCTACACCTGACACTACCACCGCCCTTTCCACATTAAAACACTTCATCATCTGACGTCCACCAAAGCCCAACCCAAAACTTCATCAATGAGCTGAGAGGGCCTTACCTCTAATCTGGGGCCTCTCCTCCTCCCCACCACTTACCAGTATAGTTTAGGCTGTTTAGTTAAACCCAGGTGCGGACTCAAGAGACCCAGATTTTAAGGTACAATGCTCAGAATTAATTTATCGTGCATCTTGCTTTCATGCCCGCCCATCGGTCTAGAATTTCCTCAAAGGCGGTGGATCGCGCAACTTTATTCTGCTCTATTGATGATAGCCAGATGCGTTAATCGGGCTTGGTTCATGGTAGACTGCAGGTTCATTTTTAATGAAATACATTTTTTAAACATACATTTACCCAACATTTTTGCACTGGTTTATCTGTTGATTCGGGGTCCCCTTGTGGCCGACTGGGCCCCTATGTGTCGCATAATGCTGCCACATCATACCCCACCAATAGTTGCGTCTCTGACGAGACCCATAGATCCCAGGAGTGGACGGAAACTCGGTGAGAAGGAATTAGATGATGACTTGTCAACACACGTATGGTTAAGTCACCAGCGATGATAATTAAATTAATAACGATAATATTATATCCCACACATATCCAGTGGCGGATTAAGATAGTGCGGGGCCTGTAGAATATGTTATAAAGGTGCCCTAAATAAAAAAAATAACACATTTTTTACTTGCAGAGTAAAGTAATTGTATTTTTGCATTTGCTATACAGCCAGATAATACGACAAATCGCTAACCTTAAACACCTAGTTGTTCATAAAAGTTGAAGGCAGTATAGTACTATAGTAATAGAGCAAGTGTAGAATTACTGAACCGGAATTGATAGCTTGAACGCATTTAGCGCAGGACCTTTGAAAATTGCGGGGCCCGTAGCATATGCTACTTTTACTACTTGGATAATCCGGCACTATACATATCCTAAGCCTGTTTAGCTAACTGCAATGATGGCCTTAAATCTTGTGTAATGTGTTCTCTAACTTACGATGACAAAACGAATAACATGAAGGGGAAAAAAACGCGAAAATACAGTTGAGGATTTAAAAAAAAAATGATAACTACACAACCACTTTTAATAACCCCACTCTTTATCTCCACCACAGTCATCTTAATTTTATCATTGCTGTAAAGTGCCTTGGAATAAGCAACTATTTACATCGATATAAGAAGATAAGAACAGCCACGTCAGAATAGAAAAACGAAATAGTGCATATGTACATGGATATATATTTACAGACCTCATTGTTCATTAAAAATGACATAGTCTGTACCCTACGTTGGCTTGGCCAAATTACTCACGGTGATATTAAGTTAGAGAACACATTACAGAATATTTAAGGCCATCATTGCAGTGTTAGCTAAACAGGCTTAGGATATGTGCGGTATATCATATTACCGTTATTAATTTGATTATCATCGCTGTGACTTCGCCGTTCGTGTGTTGACAAGTCATCATCTAAGTCCTTCTCACTCAGTTTCTGTCCACTCCTGGGTTTATGGGTCTCGTCAAGGACGCAACGATGAGGTATGCCGCGCTATGCGACGCATAGGGGCCCAGTCGGCCACAAGGGGACCCCAAATAAACGGATAAACAAGTAAAGAATGTTAAGGAATCAATAATAAAGGTTTTTTGGGTTAGATCGCGTTATTTATAAATGTGTCGTAACCCTCCACCACCCGACACGGCCAAACTGTAAAAAAAGTGTCACGTTTACAGAGAAATAGTTCACTACTTTAGCCCAGCGATGTGTTATGTTGATTCACTCCTCAACACACCGGTGGGCTAAAGTAGTGAACTATTTGGTCGCGAAAGTCTATGTGTTAAACAAATGTTAAGGAAATGTATTTTATGTATTCATAAAAAAATTATCTGCGGTCTCCCATGTACCAAGCCCGCTGAACGCATCTGGTTATTGTATCAATCGAGCAGCATCGAGTTGCACGATCCACCCCCTTTGAGGAAATCCTAAACCGATGGGGCCGGCATGAAAGCAGTACGCATGATAACTTAAGTGTCAGTTTTGTACCTTGAAATATTTGTTTTATTCATACTGTCACTGTCAGACTGTCGTCCTCTAAACCAAATACACGGTGCAACTAACATAACAAAAACATATAGTCATAGCCTACACGTGATTGTTTACGGGGGCTAAAAACATCCGGATTGATTTCAGTAAAAGTGAGTTGGGAGAACGGAGGGGGGCCCAGAGTCGGATCTTTCATTGCCACCCCCCGTTGAAATTGGTCGCTGCGCCCCTGGCGCCTCGTCCAGGCGACGTTGCCTCGCGTCCTTCATGGCCGCGCTCTCATCCCAGTCGGGGGAGCCAGTCCAATAGAGGAGGGGTGGGGGGGGGGTACCTTAAAGGATACATTTACTCTCGAGTGCGTCAGCTGCCAAACAAGCACTATACGCCGGACGAGCTTACGCAACTCAATTATATCACAGTTGCGTGAAATAAATAAGGTAAAAGACAAATGACAATTTAATTACTCTTTGGTTCTTTCGGTAAAATCACGTAGGGAGAAATAAAATAAAACAAATCACGACGTTTCGATCGGAACACAAGCGAACTCCATCAGGTGGGACAACCACAGCAATACGATGTTATTGCTGTAGTTGTCCCACCTGGTGAAGTTCGCTGTTGTTGCAATCGAAATGTTGTGATTTGTTTTATTTCATTTCTACCTACAGTGAGGGAAAAAAGTATTTGATCCCATGCTGATTTTGTACGTTTGCCCACTGACAAAGAAATGATTAGTCAATAATTTTAATGGTAGGTTTATTTGAACAGTGAAAGACAGAATAACAACCAAAAAATCCAGAAAAATGCATGTCAAAAATGTTATAAATTGATTTGCATTTTAATGAGGGAAATAAGTATTTGACCCCCTCTCAATAAGAAAGATTTCTGGCTCCCAGGTGTCTTTTATACAGGTAACGAGCTGAGATTAAGAGCACACTCTTAAAGGGAGTGCTCTTAATCTCAGCTTGTTACCTGTATAAAAGACACCTGTCCACAGAAGCAATCAATCAATCAGATTCCAAACTCTCCACCATGGCCAAGACCAAAGAGCTCTCCAATGATGTCAGGGACAAGATTGTAGACCTACACAAGGCTGGGATGGGCTACAAGACCATTGCCAAGCAGCTTGGTGAGAAGGTGACAACAGTTGTTGCGATTATTCGCAAATGGAAGAAACACAAAAGAACTGTCAATCTCCCTCGGCCTGGGGCTCCATGCAAGATCTCACCTCGTGGAGTTGCAATGATCATGAGAACGGTGAGGAATCAGCCCAGAACTACACGGGAGGATCTTGTCAATGATCTCAAGGCAGCTGGGACCATAGTCACCAAGAAAACAATTGGTAACACACTACGCCGTGAAGGACTGAAATCCTGCAGCGCCTGCAAGGTCCCCCTGGTCAAGAAAGCACATATAAATGCCCGTCTGAAGTTTGCCAATGAACATCTGAATGATTCAGAGGACAACTGGGTGAAAGTGTTGTGGTCAGATGAGACCAAAATGGAGCTCTTTGGCATCAACTCACCTCGCGGTGTTTGGAGGAGGAGGAATGCTGCATTTGACCCCAAGAACACCATCCCCACCGTCAAACATGGAGGTGGAAACATGCTTTGGGGGTGTGTTTCTGCTAAGGGGACAGGGCAACTTCACCGCATCAAAGGGACGATGGACGGAGCCATGTACCGTCAAATCTTGGGTGAAAACATCCTTCCCTCAGCCAGGGCATTGAAAATGGGTCGTGGATGGGTATTCCAGTATAACAATGACCCAAAATACACGGACAAGGCAACAAAGGAGTGGCTCAAGAAGAAGCACATTAAGGTCCTGAAGTGACCTAGCCAGTCTCCAGACCTTAATCCCATAGAAAATCTGTGGAGGGAGCTGAAGGTTCGAGTTGCCTAACGTCAGCCTCGAAACCTTAATGACCTGGAGAAGATCTACAAAGAGGAGTGGGACAAAATCCCTCCTGAGATGTGTGCAAACCTGGTGGTCAACTACAAGAAACGTCTGACCTCTGTGATTGCCAACAAGGGTTTTGCCACCAAGTACTAAGTCATGTTTTGCAGAGGGGTCAAATACTTGTTTCCCTCATTAAAATGCAAATCAATTTATAACATTTTTGACATGCGTTTTTCTGGATTTTGTTGTTATTCTGTCTCACTTTTCAAATA